CTTAATTTTTTCATTAATGGTTCTTAAAAGTCTTTAATTTGTGTGTGCAGAAATGTGTACAAACCCTGTAATATTTTTTTCGTTTTCTTAGAATTCCATTTTCTGGTGGTTTTGTTTCAACAAAACCATCTTGTTTCATTTTCATGTGAAATAAACTTTTTATGTCTTTGGTATTGTTGTATGGTGGCATAATAATCTGTAGGAATATACAATAATTTTTTCTTCTTATGGATGTCTCACTAGTTCCAAAATCATCATCATTTGGTAGATAAGAATGTCCAGAATCTAAAAATTTATAATTGATAATTTCTATGATATTTTGGGAGGACTGCACAACTTTAAGCCACATTAAAGCCAGTTTTAAATTCTTTTTTTGCCCATTATGCATATCGTGGTAGGCTATTGCATGTTATTGCGTGGTTACATTTTCTAAATGCTTCAAACAACACAAAGCAATTTCTTGGGCATCGTAGATGCAATGTTTTCAGCCCTACTGACATTACCATCGCAAAAATTGTAAAATCTCTCATTTAAAACATGCATTGTACCTTTATGCAGTGGACAGTGACAACTTAGGGCCTTATCTATCTGGATGTGGCAAAATCTAATCCTTTTGCATGCATTTTTCTTGGTAATTTAGCATTTTTTAAGTGAACATCATGTTCTTCTGTGATGCTTGCAATTTCAGCATTGTTATACATTTTTTTTTTTTTTTTTTTTTTTTAATTTTTCGAATTAAAAAAAATTACGTTTTGGGCATGTGTCTTTCCACAGTTGGTGAAAATGTAACTTGAATTCTTTCTTAAAAATTCTTCTATATGTAACTTCTCAAACTGGATAAATATTACTTTTTTCACACTTTTGTAAATATTATCTTAATGTTCTTAGTATTCAACTAAATTTCTTCCTTTAGGATTATGCAATTGGATATAATGGCTCTCCTACTCCGGAAAGCTTTGGATATGCTCCTTTATTAATTTTATTTCGAGATCTGACGTTTTTCTAGAAGTTCATGGTGTGTGCCCATGCATATCCAATTCATTATCTTTAGATTTTAAAATATGATCTATTTGCTCTATTGATATTTTAAAAGTATTTACAAAAACACTTTTGCAAACAAAATTTTCCCAGCTGGAATAATTAAATGACATTTATATGCAAAATTTTTTTGTGTTCCTTTATAATTTCTTTGGCAGCATCTTTTTATATTATACCTTTGAACAGCTTTGGATAGAAATATACTCTGTTTATTAAAATATGCCAGATTCCAAAATCTGTCAAAATTTGCTTTGCAATTAGTTTCACCAACAAGAGTTTGGCAATTTTTTCCACAATTATACTGTATATCTTGAAATTTTTTAAGTTGGTAATCTTACTATTAATTTTTATTGCTTTTATTGATTATGATCGCCTTGGTCAATTTAATGGTTAGCTACAAGCACAAATGCAATTCCAAGTAAACCATGGATGTTTGTATTGTCTTTATTGAATGGGAGCACTTAGAATCTATCAATATAAAATTGTTCTTAAGAAGCTAGTAGTAGTGTTTCATCGCTCTGATTTTTCAATTTAGAGTAGGAGAAAGCCTAAGCAGGTAATCATCATGGACTTTAAGAATTGAATAATCTGAATCCAGATCTGTTTTTCTTTATGAAGATATGTCCTTCAAAAAATTCAGTTTTTGATTATGATTATAAAACAAACTTTTTCTAAGATCTTTGATCAGTGCTTTCACGTGTATACAAAATACATTTTGCTTTTTATTGCACTTTAATTGATAAACCATGTGAGTGGTTAAAATGCTTTTGTGTGTTCAGAATGTAGTTCACGTGGTTACACAGTATTATCATACAAAAAGAATAAAATCAAAATAGTTCACAAGTCAGCTTAGTGTGGGGGGAGGGGAAACCCTAGGAACTTTGATATAAGCTATCACACATGTACTTAGCCACTGCTGAAAACTCATGTACCCATACCCATTGCTCCTATTAATTGCTAAATTTGTGCATAATGTGTTTTAATACATTAATAATATGAGAATTTTTGTCTAATTAGTAACTTGACAATGTTTAATCAAGATGTTTCTGTTAAGTCAGCATTTTTGCACAAACTCGAAGTACAGTATTTTTTTTAAAGAGCTAATATGTTACTTAGAGAGCTAATATCTTACATTACTGTTTATTTAAATGAAATGTTTTATAATTCAGCCTATACTTTAAATTGCTGTGCCCACAGCAAAATAGCATTCCTGTATGTGATGTCTTGTATATATCACAATCCAGATTCTTTCAGATAATTTTCCCTCCATATAAACAGGAGTTTAATTTATGCTACTGCTTTAAATAAATATTAAAAAAAAAGAAAGAAATGTAAATTTTGAATTATTGGAATCCTTGGAGCTGATGCGATGAGACTAAATGCTTGAATTTGTTTCAATTTTCCTAAAGAACAAATGAATATCTTTATAGCAGATATGAGGTAGGAAAGGTAGCAATAAGTTAAATATAATTTTCCACATATTTATATGTAACACAATTATTTTTTTAATTTATACAGATATTTTCTTATCCACCACTATAAAGATTATATTTACTCTCTTTTCATATTTTAGTTTTAATAGCTTTTGGCAGGTAGCATCAACTTCATTATTTGCAGTAAAAGGATTTTTCATCCTTTGAGACAGCTTCAACTTCAAAAATTTTCAAATAATTTTTCTGTATCTCATCTAAGTTCATCAAGGTGACACCTGAACCTTTCAATCTTCCTTAAAGTTACATGTTTTTTTGTATAAATGAGTCTAAATATTTATAAAGTAAAAACTTGTATTTAAGTGTTATGTTAGAAGATATTGTTTATACACCATGTAATTGAATACAAAAAATATTGAGCAATTCTTTCTTCAAATAAGCCATAAATCCATGATAGTAGCCTACCATTGTTGATGCTTCATCAATAACATGAGCAGCAATATTGTTTCAGTGGTATCTTTTATGTAAATTTTGATTATCCGGCATTAAATATTGATAATGCTTATTGCAAATAGCATTCTTAGTGTATTGTTTTCATCGAAATAGCATACTTATATCATTAAAAAAATTACCTGCAATAATTAGCTCATATGATTGTATAGAATATGAAGAGCTCTGGTGAATATTCTTTGAGTTTATTTTCGGTATTAACTGCTATTTCTTCATATCTTTGCTTTAACATGCTATTGTTTAAAGCCTGGGGTATATCTTGAGGCATCAATGCTGAGAAAATTCTTTTATAGAGAGTATTATTAAAATTCCTCTAGTGTTGTAGCTTTTACCACTTCTTTGCAATTATTTGTGTTATGTAATGAGAGGCAGTTGTTGCATCTTCGTTAATGGCATATTGTTTCTTGAATAATGCAATTCAAGAAATATATATATTTCTCGAACTGCATTATTTCAAGAAATATGTATGTATATTTCTTGAAAATTTTCATTGAGCTTCTCTTTCGGATGTTATGCAGCAAGGTGTTCCTGCAATCAGCTTTGCTTCATTCAGTAATGTTTTATGGTATAGTAAACACAATTGGAAGTTATTTATTTGCAGCAGATTCAATGAAACACATCTTCAAATATTCTGCGGAATAGCAACAAGCATATTTCTTTTTCCAAGTCATGGCTTACAAAACAAAATTTCTAAAACCTATTTTAAGCTGTAGACACATGCTTACTTTCACAGATCTAATTAGCTAGTTCTCCACTCTCATGAGACAAACTCAACTTGAAGGCTGAGTGAAGACACATTTCCTTCATTAAACTGGTATGACATCTTCTTGAAAAAAAAAAACTGCAAGGAACAAAACTTCAAGCAAAACATTTTTATCTGTAATGTAAAATGTCCAACATAGCTAGGTGGACATCAATACCAGTGAAACTGTTTAGGCTAGGATCCCTTCAATGCTACAAGTTTGTTTCTTAGAAAAGTTTTTGTTCACCTCATGAATTGTTAGATGTAATAACCCCATTCTGCCTACTATAGTCATAGAATAAAAGAATAAACCTAAGAGAAGTGACAGAGCCTTATAAATATGAAAAATGTACAGTGTCACACACAGGGGCATGATCAAGACTTTCACTTGTGTATATATGTATATGTATGTGTCTATCTTCCTCAATCTTCATCTTTAGGCATAAAAACCCTCTAATGCTTACCATAAAAGCTTAGTTGAGATCAGATTGACTGTCCCTGCTGTAGCTCGTAAAAAAAAGGGGGGGAGGGGTCATAAACTACATTTTCTGATCACTGATCACAGTTTGTAGGCTCAGTGATTATATTCATACTATTAATACTGAGTAGTAAATTTTTGTTTGGAAGCATTCAGCTTATTATGTGATGATCCTTTGTAATGGTAACGTATGTAACATGTACACAAATTTCAGCATATTATCAAAGTCAGCTACAGCAAGAAAGATTTAAAAAAAAAAAAAAATTCCTTTTTCATAGCAAAAGTTATTTTATATTCACTTTAGCCCATTTTGCACATTGATAAGGAAGGGTAAGTTTTGTCATCTGAACAACAGTCAGTATTCAAAGAATCAAAAAAGAGCTTTGACTTATGATCTTTGATTATGGGACAGAGTTTAGCAAAAATGTCACATGGGGAATCCACTCTCTATCAATATTTCTGATCCAAAAAAAATTAAGATCTAAAATTTATCAACATGAGAGAGAATTCGTTACAATTTATTCACATTTTACGACAAAACTGATGTTGAGAGCAAAGGCAAATAAATAGGCATTAAATGTATATTTATCAACTTAATCATAGTATTATAATTTTAATTTTAATCTAAAAATTATTAATGAAGTTGCATTTAAATTTGCATCTATGTTGATTTTTTGTTCACATTTCTCTCCATAAGCAGTAAAAACTTTGTACCTGAAATTATCCATTTTTTCTGTTATTGTTTTATAACTAGAATTAGTATTCATGTTTTTACTATATGAATTATATTTTATATTTTTAGATTGTATCCAGTATTATTATTAATCTTATACCAGAAGATAAATTGCCACCAACTCTTGAAGGAAAAGCTAAAGTCTCCTCAAAAGTTAGTAATTTGTTTACAAATAAATTGCTCTTGCTTATGATTGCCCATGCTTGTGATTTTTTTTTTCCCCCTCATTTGATAGAAATGTAGACAAATACTAAACCAAGAAGTGCTAGAGAGTGTTAAATGAACCAATTTAAATATCCATTAATAACTATTGATCTCCTGAAATTTTTTCTCAGATAATTGTTGAGGTCATTCAGTGAATTTTATTATTTGTGTACATGTAAAATTTTACTATATTTTAATGCTGTTTGGCTGAAAAAGGCATAGTAATTAATTTAATGTGTCATTTTCACAAGTTTAATTTTGTATAGAAGAAGCATTGTTAGCTATCTGTATATTGCTTGTAGTGCTATTCATGAAGATGCACAATCTTCTTAAATTGTATATTTTTCAAACTTCATTGTTCGTTAACATGCAAAAAATATGTTTTCCAAACATTTTACAGTAGAATCCCGCAAACTCGACATAATGTGGACTGAGAGACTGTCAAGTTTTGCGGAATAAGGGGTGGGTTTTTCAGAACTCTTAATATTTAACTGGAAATTAACATCACCATCACTAACTTCTTCGCAGCCTGGAATTTTCTGAAGTTTGCCTATAAGCACTAGTTTGAGCTTCTGGCTGCCAATTGCATTGCTGCATGCCACTCATGAAAGATTGTGACTCTTTCCTTGCTGCTTTTGTAACCAGGTGCCAATTTTTCTTCCTTGGATAAACCATCCTTTCCAATTAGTGGGGGAAATCATCCTTGAATACTGCAGCATTTTCCAACTTAGCAGATAGCTTTTTCCACAAACGTTTACCTGCCTGATGCTGTACTGCTTTTTCCATCTGTCGAGCCAGCAAGGAATAGCAGTAAATCCATGCTTTCCTTCTTGAAATTCATCATAAAAGTGTAGGGCTTTATTTTGTAAAATTTGTCCTGAAATGGGTGTTCCCTTTTTCCTTTGCTGCTTAAACCACAAGTAAAGTGCCTCGCTCACTTTTTCGTATTCACCACCTTTCAATGCTTTTTCTTTTATTTAAACTATCCGTATGTGCTCTTTTCATACACCCAGACTCAATTTTGGACCTTTTCTTTTTTCCACCGTATCGAAGTAGTCCATTTAATACCTAAATCCATGGTAGTTTACACTGTCCAGTTTCTTTAAGGCATCTAGTTTCATTTCCATTGCCATGTTAGTTTCTCTCTTTCTTTCTTTCTTTTTAGTCCAAAGGGGCTTTGTCCCTGAGGACTATCGTTTTTGTTTTGCGATTTTGCGTTGAATCACTATAAATGTCCGTTTCACTTTTCAAACTGTTTCCACCAAATGCTAGAGTCCTGCATTATATTTGAAGAAATTAAATAATGAAAAATGTGCATAAATGTATGTATATTTCTTGCATTGTGATAAAACAACGATGCATAGAGCCATTGAATTTTGAATGGCGTAATCCTCCTACGAATATGCGCTTGTGGAAGACCAAATTTGGAATTTGTTTTATTATCGATATTATATTTTTTAAAATTTTAAAGTATTTTTGATTAACAAACTCAAGGATTTCAAAGCGAGCAATGGCAACACTGTACGGGAGGGGGGGGAAGCCTTATCTCCAGTGCTCAGAACTGTGTATCGGAAATTCTAAAGATATGCTGATTTTAAAATTATTTTGCGACATTGCTATTGAACTGAATTTTATGGTTTAAGTGCAAAGAACATGATATTTGATAAATAAAGGTAACTCACAAAAAGTTAAAAAATCACCCCTTTGGACGTAGTTTAAAATCTGAAACCTTTCAGATTTTTTTATTGCTTTTTTTTGGGGGGGGAGGGAACAACATTTTCACTTTACAGAATATCAAAATTTCCCCAAAATATGTAGCACATATACGCCTAGATGTGAACTGAGGAGCGATATCCGCAATGAACTGGTGTGAGTTGTTTAGTTTGCAATAAGATGCAGTCACAAAACTTCAGACAAGTGTCCTAATGTTTTGCAACTATAGAAAGGAATGTGAGCCAGCAGCCAGCTACTACCTGACTTTTTTCATATCCTCAAATGAAGCAAAAAGCACTACCAAGTATTACAATATATCTTGAAATTTATTAGGCAGTTCCAAGAATTAATGGCATAGTGTGAAAACAGTAAAAATTACACAAAAGAACACTCAAATCTGTGAACAGAACAGGAAAGATATATACACAAATAATAATTATATGTACTGTATGTAATATTTTCTCTGTTTGGCCTAGAGATATCTTAAAAAAGTTCTTTAAAAGTTTCTGAGTTATGTGGAATGTCAAGATATCAGGAGTCGATTTTGTGGGACTGTTCTGTATCAATGATTATTTTTAGTATGACAATTCTACTACAATATAACTACCATTGTTGAGTATGAGTTTAAATAGTGTTATCAGTATGTAAAATTTAAAATGTACCATGTCAGTATTTACTGTGAATATGTATACGCATAGTTGCTGCATGGTTTTTCAATTACCGTAATTTCCGGAAGAAACGCCACGGCGTTTACGTGTTTAAAACTTAAATTTTCAGCGGCTGCGCCGTTTAGGTGTACTAAAAATAAAATATTTCCTATGATGGTCATTGTACATAGTTTGGATGGCCTTGTCATTGTGCATAGACTGGTACTGTTCCCACACAAAAGACCACTCAGTTGCTTTTTGCAAACGTTATTTTGTTTACATTATTTCCCTTGAACGGACCTACATGCCTTATTCACCCTAAACGAGATCTCAGAACAATAACATTCTTCCCCCTTTCAAATCAACATTCTCATCAGTTTGAATAGTCTCACTCCTCTGCCATTCGATGAATCTTCCATCCTCTCCCCACCCCTGCCTTTTCTGCAATTTTTTTCAAAGGCAGACACGACTCCACCTGCCTCCCAATAACGAACTCTGACGTATTTCTCTTTCAGCATGAATAGATTTTTCTTGGCATTCTGCCAGATACAGATCTCATCAGTTTGGGTACAAGTACTTGTTAGATAGCTTTTAAGTAAGAAAGGAGCAGAAAATTTTTGAAAATGTCCTTAAACGGCACAGAAGCTGTACTGCTGGTTTTAAGCTTAATGTAATTTCACGTGCTGAACAAATTGGAAATCGAGCAGCAGCTCGAGAGTTTGAAGTGGACGACAGATGTATTCGACATTGGAGAACTGAAAAAGAACTTCTTAAAAATATGCAACAACAGAAACGAGCCAAAAGAAGTGGTACTGTAAGGTGGCCAAATCTAGAGGAGGACTTTGCAAACTGGATAAAGGAGCAACGAGGAAAGGGAATGGCAATTTCGACTGTAAAAATTCGCTTAGCAAAACGAATGAACATAAATGATTTCAAAGGAGGTGTAGCAGATTATTAAAAGAAAAAATATTTCTGTGCGTACTAGAACAACAGTCGGGTAACAATTACCAATGGACCGGCAGGATAAAAAGTCATCTTTTCTAAAATATGTGACAGCTATTATTGACAAAAAAAACTTCTTGGGTTGCAGATAATAAATATGGATGAAACGCCGTTAGCTTTCGACTCTCCTGTAAACAGAACTGTTGATGAAACTGGTGCAAAAACTGTATCTGTGTTTATGACGGGGCATGAAAGAACGTCATTTACATGTGTGTTAGTTTGTGCCGCAAACAGCGACAAGCTAAAGCTGATGATCATTTTTAAACGAAAGACTATTCCGAAGGAAGATTTTCCTAATGACGTAATTATTTGTGCAAACGAGAACGGCTAGATGTGCGAAACAATCATGCATGAGTGGCTACAAAACGTTTGACAGTGTCGTATGGGATCTTTTTTCCAACCAAAGGGGTTATTGATAATGAATTCCATGCGTGCTCATTTTTTTGAGTCAGGAAAATCAGATGTCAAAAATTGTCTACGACCAAAGCAATAATTCCTGGTGGTTTGACAAAAATCTTACAACCGCTAGATTTGTCAGGTAATAAATTCTTCAAAGCTGAAGTCCGTAAGCGGTGGAAGTGCTGGATGAGTGAAGGATTGCATATGTAAACCAAAAGCGCTAAAATGCGTAGAGTATCTTATGAAGAAATTGCAAAGTGGGCAGGAAGTGCATGGAAATCGGTAGAAACATCGTCAATAATAGCAGGGTTCAAAGAAGCTGAAATTATATCCTTAGATAAAGAGACTGTAAACCAAGAGGATGAATGTGAGGATATAGAAGATTTGGATCAGGATTTACTAAATCTTTTTAATTCAGGTAGTGAAGAATCAGATTTTGATGGCTTCATATGATGTATAGTTTGCTGTAATTCGTAAAGTAAAATTTAAAATTTCCTTTTGTCATCCAAATTTAATATTTCATTGTTGCAACATGTTTTATAATATAGTCTGAGTATTACAAATATGGACTTCTTTAGTGTGTAAATATAAGTACATATGTGAAGGTAAATATATTTTCCACATTTCTTACCTTCAATTTATTTTTGAGTTATAGTTTCATTTCATGCATTTTTCTTAACTGGTATGTCATATATCAGGACTTAGGTTGAGTTTTTGCATCTATACGGCTCACGATGATGTCATGCACAATTTAATCTATTGCAGGGTTTACGCTGATGCGGCGTTTCTGTGTAATTTTAATTTTTTTCCCGCCATTTTTCTCGAGTGCGCCGTTTACGCTGATGCGGCCTTTTCTTCCGGAAATTACGGTAATACCAAATAACCATTTGCTAGATTGTCATTAAATTTAATAAAAACAGAAAATAAGAGAAAATTTAAAGTATGAATCTAGATGCAAATGTGATAGATATTTTGGAATGTAAAATGAATTTTTAAGGTTTTGTTGCTAGTATTTTTTCATATAATTTTAATAATGTGTAAGCATTTTTATGTAAAATATGCAGTTTATTTCTTGTATTTTTATTACTATTATTTCAATCTAGAATTGGGTGAGAGAACCTGTTAGAGATTGGAAAGCAGGTGGTACTCCTTTGTCTGGGGATAACATGAGCGAGTCAGAAGTAATAATAAGATCAGGTGAACTTTTATGTGGTGTAATAGACAAAGCTCAAATTGGACCAACACCCTACAGTCTTATTCATGTTTGTTATGAGGTACATTATTATTTTCTTTAAATTGATTTCAGAATTGATTTATTTTAATAATGATGCAAACAAAGAGAAGTATGTATATTTTTTCAGGAAAGGTGCTATAAACTGATGTCACATTATCATCTTGACTGCTAAGAATAAGTTAAAACTTCCTGATATAAACCTAACAATTTTTCTTCATATTTTTGTATATAAAATATATGTATTTCTTATGTGTATAAATAATGATGAGTAGTTTGTATTGTAATTAGCTTAAAATTTTACCCCTTTAAAATAAGACTCATTTTCAGTTTAAAGAATCTTGGTATCAGAAGAGGCATATATAATTTTTGAAATATTTCAAATATCTATATATTCGGAGGTATTGTTGTGCCAATAACTAAATTTTGTATATCATGCTGTGATCTAAAAGGCATTGTTTCTCCTTATTCATTTAAATAGGCCAAATATATATATATATATATATATAGGTGATTTTGATTATGCTATATTTTTTCTATAAATTTTCAAAAAAAAAAAAAACAATTTTTTGCTTACAGTAGGATCCTAAAGTAAACAGAAAAAGTAAAAAATCAGTAAATTAAAAAATCTGAACAGCAACATGATACAATTTTTACAGAAAGGCATATATATATATTTCTTAAATAATAAATTTATTTTCCCAGAATAGTTGCATTTTTAGTTAAGGCAGCAAGTGTGTAGAGGTTGGCCGTGCTGAGAGAAGTTATTCACCAACTGGTAAGAATTGTAGCTGAGTTCTCTTAAATGTTATGCAGAATATCATGCCACATCTAACAGCTGTTATCATGAATGATCATAATCACATTGAATATTTATGATTCTGTATGTGTTGCTAAATGTGCTACGCCTTTTTATGAATTCTCTCACATCTCGCATACTATAAAAAAAATGTGCATTTCTGTGAAAACTGCGTTGTGTTGCTGTCGATAGTTTTTCAAACTATTGAATTTTTCTTATACTCTTGGATTACCCTTTTTATGTTTAAAACTCGTTTCAGGGATATTGGAATAAAATTTTTCATTTTATCAACCAAATGAAAATATGCACCAATTAAGTTTTATGGCAGTTCTACTAGATTACTAGATTAAGATTTTGTTGCTTTATTATTTCTAATTTGTTTGAAAACTCTTAAATACATTTACAGATATAATGTGTTAGTGCTGTTTCCTTCATTTGATGGAAGTCATGCATAAAATTATGTAATTACATATATCCCTTCTGCATATGATAAGCTATAGGAATTTTGGAAAATTATGAAACATGAAAAGCTAAATAACGTGTGTGAATTAATTAGGAAAACAGAATTTAAGGAACCCTTCATTCTCTTTTAAAACACTAATTTAAATTTTTTTTTCCCTGCTCAAACTTACAGCCATGCAATAAATATTAATTGAGGAAATAAAATAAATTTTATTTTCCATTAGCTTAGTATATTATGCCAAGCTAATAGGAAATAAAATTTGAAATAAAAAAAAAGTAGTTATGATAAAAATGGCTAACGGTATAGATTTCAGGTAACATTCTTCAAAAGTATTTATAGTTTAAAATTTTTATTTTATTTTACCATGAAGAAAAAGCTTCATTACAAATCATGCAAAAAATTCTATTAAAAATATAATAATAAAATGTGTAAAGTTTTTCAGTATTTAATATAAATTAAACTTTAAGCATATATTTTCCGAAAGTTGGTTTTGATACTCAGAGCACCTAACCTTTGCTACCTACCTCCGAAACCTTTTAACTATTGCATATTTTGAATGAAATTCTTTAAAAAAAAATAATTTTTGTCCAATTTTATTTATTACTAAATTCTGCAGCAGCTGGTATCAATAACAGCTGCTGCAGAATTTAAATTTATATTTATATAATTCTTTCCTAAATATATACATACTTTTAGTATTTTTTTAAGTGATTTAATATTAGTGGCTTCCTGTATACTTACATACTTTCAGGAAAGCTTTGCTACATGTACTGGCATTATACTGCTGTTTTGTATGATGGTAATTTTATTCACTTAATTCACTCATCCAACTTCTTCAATACTAAAATCTTCTTTTTCAATAAATATATTTTTTATTGCATAAAAATATGCAATGGAAAGGAAGTGCAGAAAATGCATATTTTAACTTGTACAAATGTCTAGAGAAAGTAATTGTTAACATAAATCAAATTTAGATGACTTGTGGTGCCATCTATTGAACATTTATATATTTAAAATATTTACATGCATGACAAAAATTTGTCAGTTCGTTGTATGTAAAATAGAGGCTGGAAGACAGACAGACATGATTTGATAAGTTAACTAACTATTATGAAAGAAAACTATAAAGATCAGTATGCTGTCATAAAGAAACAGGAAGCATTAAAAAAATGAAAGATAAATGTAGGTTTTTAATTAATCATACATTATTCGGAAGTATTCTGTTTTTCATTTTCAGACTAACGGAAGGCCATTTTTTATGTATTGCATATTTAGGAAAATAATTTATTGTATATATATATATATTACATGGCATATTTTGCTATGCTTTGTAACTGTGCAAATAAGCAGTGTTTTGTTCCTTTCTTGTATTAAATATAGTTGTTATATGTTTAAATACCTGCTGATTTAATATTATTTTGTAGAACTGACATTGTATGTGGAATTTTGAAGCCTAATATTCCAAATGAATCAAATTTTTTGTACCTAATCCTAATAATAATCTTTGTATCTATCCTAAGCTCGTCTTTTTCTTTCACAGTTGTATGGTGGAGAAATATCAAGTGTTATCCTTACTGCTCTAGCGCGATTATTTACTCATTATTTGCAGTTTTATTCAGGCTTTACTCTTGGTATTAAAGATATTGTTCTCACTCCAAAGGTAACTTATTTCAATTTTTTTAAATTTATTCATTGGGTAATAATAGTTTTCATATATCTTCTCTAAAAGCAATTACGATCGTTATTTAACCTGTTTTGTACTCTTAACACGTATTTTTTTTAATACTTAAATTAAAAAAAATATTGACTAGAAACCCATCTTTATTTACTGTTGGAGGAAAATTTTATATTGTGCCTTAGTATTATTTGATGGATGTGTTGACTTCTTAATAATCCACATCTTGAAAGTATGTCTTAAACATGGAACAACAAAATATTAAAATTTCATTTTAAAAACTTTTTATAAACAATGCATATGATTGTAATAAATAATTGGATTAATTTCTGTCTGAACATATGGAAGACTACTAGGAAAGATAAATGAAATTAAGTATAAATAATGTATAAATAACTAAATTAAATAAAAATGTAAAGAAATTTAAAAATAGTGGGTTAATGACAAATAGCTAAGCAATGAATTAAAATATCTGAGCTCATCTTACTTGAGGCTTTGTCTGGAATTAAGTTTTCACTCAAAGATTGAGAAGTACCAGAGCCAGACTTCTGTTGAATTTAAGCTCTGGTTACAGTTCATCATATTGATGAACTTATTGAATAGTGATTGTTCATGCATTTCATGTGATAATACTTTGTGATATTAAAAAAATAATAATAATATATCAAACATTTTAGTAGCAAACATTAAATGTAAAAGATATTAGTTAGAATTTATTAGAAATCATTTTACATAAGTTCGATCAATTTTCTTCAAAAAGAATTGACCGTATTTTGCTTTTGTTTTAAAGCTCCAGATTAAAATTAACTCCTGATTTATCAGGCAGATTAACCAGGTCCTATCTTGGAAGAAAATGTATGATGGAAATATGGGAACATTATTATCATGAATTATTCAGTGACATTTAATTTGATGATTCAGTAAGACTGCCTTGTCACTTAAACATTTTTAACTTATTGTTTAAGTTTGCCTTGTAACTTAAGCAGTTTTATCTTGTAACTTATTGTTCTTTAATGTCATTTGAAACCTAGTTTCTTCATTTCTAATGATGTTCACTCTTCCATTATCTGCTACACGTTCTTTTTATTTTGAAACTGGATTTAATTTATGTTGTCAAATAAACTTATCCTTCTGATCAAACTACTTGAAAATACAGATAAATTGCTGATAGCATTTTTTTATTAATTATAACATGGATTGTTATTCTTCTTATGATTTTTTAAATATAGTTTTGAGTTTCAGTGTACCTTAAATTAGCTGTGATTTTAAGTTAGCTGTAGACACTGTCTCCTCTATAATCCTGGTAAATCGGGAGTAGACTGGAGTTGTGGCAGTTTAACATCAAGCTGCTCATATATAAAAAAAGTAAATTTTGTACTCTTCAGGCAAGTATTTTTTTTTTTTTTTTATTAATGTTTATGCTTTTTCTATTTGGGCAGGCTGATAAGAAAAGGAAAAAGGTTCTTAAGAAAACAAAGGCTAAAGGTTTGATTGCATGTGCTAATGCCCTAGAAGTTGAAAATCCTGAAGAAAATATAGAAAAGTTATTAACTAAGTATAAGGAAACCCATTTTAACAGAGATGATTTTGGACTAAAAGTGGTAGATATGGAAATGAAGAAAGTTACCCATGAGCTTAATAATAAAATAAATACGTAAGATTGTTATATATAAATTAGTTTGAAAATAGACCACAATTACGCTTACAGTTTTGTTAAATGTGATTTTCTGTAAATCTATTCTAATTATTTTCATTTATTTTATCTTATGATTTAAAAAAAATATCTCTTTCTTTAAATGTTTATATATCGCTATTTTATCTTATATTTAGGATTTGTATACCAGAGGGCTTAAAGATCAAGTTTCCATTTAATAATCTGCAGTTGATGGTTGAGTCGGGAGCAAAAGGCTCTTCGGTAAATTATATTTTTTGAAAAAAATATATATGTAATCAACTCTTGTTTACTTTCACGTAGGTAGTGTCTTATGATTAATTTACATTTATTCATTGCACTACGTTGGAAACAGAATTAGTGCTGTCATCACCGTGGAGTTTGGTCTCTAGAATGTAGCTGACCTATAACTCTTTAAATATTTATTTTTAACTGAACTATATTATTAGATACTTTTATATGGATGTTTTAATTATTGCATGTTTCAAATTTGTGCTTTGTATAAAGCAGATGAGTCCATAAAAGTTATGGCAAAATCAAACTTCATGCTTGTGTTGTGGAGCCATTTATTTAGCGGCCATTAAGCGCAACTGGGATATCCTAGTGATTAAGTAAAAATTCACAATTTATTAGCTGTTACTTTGGTTAATTTCTTATTTTTGACAGCTAGATTAGCCATATACTATGTTTTTCTTGCTTTAAAGATGTGAGCGATATAAATAGGAGAAAATTTTATTTTATTTTGAAAGCAAATTATATGTGTAATTTTTTAACATAAGCCAAAACCCTGCAGTTTAATAATGTTGAGAATTATGATTGTTTTCTATTTATTACTATATTAGGTAGTAAATTATATGTGAAAAAGAGTTAGTGACCAGTATCAGATTATGATTTTGTTTTTGTAATGCAATTATAGATGCTTATAAAAATACATTTTTGTTTATTTGGTTGCCACAAAGAAAAATATTTTTTGGAAATAATTAAAGGCAATAATTAAAAGTAACTTTATAATGTTTAATAACATACAGAATTTTAATTATGTTATTTTTTTATATGCTCATGTCCAGAATTATCCTAACATTTCTTAAAAACTGTTAAAAAAATTAACTTTATTTCATATGATGCATAGCATCATAATATATAATTTGAGTGCATCTGATATAAAACTGTATCATGAAAATAATATATTACAATCAATTTTTAGTAAATATCTTGGAAATAAATGCAAATTTTTACAAATTAATAAGGAATGCATTTTCCCTAACTTTTAAATGCATTTCATTGTGCAGTTCATACTGTCAATAAAATGACAGTTTTTGAGGTTATAGTTTCAGTTCGTGTACCTTATGGTCTCGAAGGCCTTTTCCTCTGCTATAAGTTCTCGGAGAAAAATTTGGACAAACGGCTCAGGACCAGCACTGCATAGAATCAGCAACCTCTCTGGCAGCATAGGATCAATAAAGCAGCTCAAAAAATGGTGTTGAGTAACCCTCAGATGTTATTATGTGTTGTCCACTTCAGATGGCAATTTACATAACCCTAAAAAAAATAATTTAATAAAAAAAGAAAATCTGAAAGGTTTCAGATTTTAAATTACATCTAATGGGGCGTTTTTTTAACCTTTTGTGCGTTACCTTTATTTATTAAATATCGTGTTCTTCACACTTAAACCATAAAGTTCAGTTCAAGAGCAATATTGCAAAATAATTTTAAATTGAGCATATCTTTAGAATTTCCGATACACAGTCTCACACGCTGGAGATAAAAATGTTTTTTCTGTACAACGTTGGCATTGCTTGCTTTGAAATGCTTGAGTTTGTTAATCAAAAATTCATTAAAGTTTTACAAAATATGAAATGGATAATAAAATAAATTTCAAATTTGGGCTTCCAGATGCCCATATTCGTAGTAGGCTGAACTATGCCATTCAAAATTTGATGGCTCTAGGTTCCATTGTTTTATCATAATGCGAGAAACATACGTACATTTATGCAGATTCTTCATTTATTTAATTTCTTCAAATATAATACAGGGCGATAATATTTAGTGGCAACAGTTTGAAAAGTAAAACGGACATTTAGAGTGATTCAACACAAAATCGCGAAATGAAAACATTAGTCCCTCAGGGATAAATCCCCTTTGGACTAGAAATTCTTTCGTCTGTTGATTATGTGCTGTTCTGATTATAATTCTTAGGTACATTATGTAATGCATGTCGATATTATTCCTACACTGTGTTATATTATGCCAGTGCTGACTATAAGCAGAGTCAACACTACTAAGTTGAGTAAACTGTGATAACTCTATAACAACAAGAAATATGCATTAATCCTCTTACTGCATCATTTACAAAATTTTTATTTTAGCGAGTTGATAGCTATCCTCAGTTGTATGCATTTGTTCTACATAATTTTGATTCTATGCAGCTAGTCCTGTTCAGTAGTTATATGAATATAACCCAAAAATTTCACCTTATGCAACAACTGTTTTATAAGTTGAACTTAAAATTACTAGCACATTTAGCTTCTCAAATATTGCTGTTTTTTTTTTTTTTTTTTTTTTTCTTTGCTTTTGAAGTAGATCTATCTATGTTTAATAATCCTTGAAACCAGTAGTTTTTTTAATTAATGTTTTGTGCCAACATAAGAGAGCTTGTTTACCTAATTTTAAATTGTACTATCATTTGTATATATGTCAGTTCATTTCATCTGCTATTTGTATGCCTGACACAAATCCATAGTTGAATTGTTCGTTTGGACATGTGAAAGACATGTAAGAAAATTTCCTTTCTGCTAAAGTTGTCATATTATTTTTTTTGCCATGCCACTTCACAGGTAGTCAAAATGTTTTTCAAAACTACATTTTATGTATGCTGTATGGTAATTATAATCATGCTTTTCTGCAATTTTCACTGCATAAACACTAGTATATTTGCTTCACTCTCTCTTTTTCTAAAAGCAAGTTTACCTCTTCAGACATTTTTCATTAACCAACTAGAAATATTTATATAGGGCTTTCATAAAAGTGAAGTGATGCAAAGAAAACATTTATAAAGCAAGGGATATTTGTTTAACAATTGAAAAGACACAGTTTAATTATTTCTAGGTATATTCATGATGAAATTCCATTTAAATCAATTTATGGATATTTATCAGAATCTTTTAATTTTAATCCGTCAATATTTTGTAATTGCAGGTAAATGCTATGCAGATATCTTGCCTGTTAGGTCAGATTGAATTAGAAGGACGTCGAATGCCATTGATGTTAAATGGTTGTACTTTACCATCATTCCCAGCTTATGATACTTCCCCAGAAGCTGGAGGATTTGTTACAGGGCGCTTTTTGTCCAGCATAAATCCGCAAGAATACTTTTTTCATTGCATGGCTGGTCGAGAAGTATGCAATTTTCTTGTCACTTAATTTTTTTTTCAAATTTAACTTTCATTTAATTATTCTTAGTCTCAACAGATATTAGCAGCTTTGTTAACTTCTCTTTATTTTTAATGTATGTGGGTATTTGTATTTTAAGAATTTTGAGTGATTTATGAAATTAAATAATTTTAGGGCTTGATTGATACAGCTGTGAAGACAAGTCGTAGTGGTTATTTACAGAGATGCCTTATAAAACATTTAGAAGGTGTTACTGTGAATTATGACCTTACTGTGAGAGACAGTGATGGTTCAATTGTTCAGGTAATTTAACTATTTTCAGGCTGTTTTCTTTTTCTTTGGTAGTCTTTCAACAAGTACAGAAACACTAAACCCTTATATCTAATATTCCTATGCTTAGCCTTTCTTATGTATATTGAAGCAATGTTTTTATGAAATTTTGCATATGATTTAAAAGTGATATGACATCATTTATATCCTTGCCATCCTTCACTTTCCATACACCTATCTCCAGCACACTACAGGCCTGCAAAGACAGAAAGATGCAAGACAGGTCACAAATAATGGGGATTTATGAAAGAAAAAAGTGTATTACTTGAAATGAAACTGTTAAAGCAATGTTTGAATTTGTAGCCTGCAAATGCAATACATGTTTTGCAACAATAGCTCATTGATTGACATATGTTTGCAAGAATGTCATTGTGTATCAGCAAAATGTGTACTACTAGGTCCATGTCTGGTTTCATACAGTAGGTTTCTCATGTAGCTGCCCTCCCCATAAAAAAAGAAGTCAGCGAATGGCAAGTGTAGAGATCAAGGTCGGCATGGAATGGGTCCAGCATGGCCAATCTGTCAGCCTGTATCCAATTAGCAATTCATACATCTGCGTGATCATATACACATATAATGCTCTGTGTGACTTCATCTTGGTCAGACTTATTCCTGTTATTCAGCAGCCTCTTTCACATTGGGTTTTCATGCAACCCTATGTTCCTACATGATTGTTGACTGTTGTCATGTTCTGGACCGCCATGCACATTTCTGAACAATATTTTTGAAACACCACGTATAGGCATGTGTGTGTGGATTTTTTCACTGAAGTACACACATTGGCACATGCACTCTTTATGTTTATCTTAAGAGAAGTTTTCTTTTCCTGTGCAATGAACGAGTACACTATCTACCCATAAGTGTTTGGACACCTACAACAGAAGGAAAAAAACAGTTTATTCATATTCAGTAGTTGGTAGAGCCACCATGAGTGGCAGCTATGCCTCAGCGCTCTGGGGTATGCTTTCCACACGTTCTTGGATAATGGCTTTTGGTATTTTCTTTCATTTGCCTTGGAGAAGTCATGTAAGTTCCTTTGCCGAAATGTTGGACGGTTGTTGCACCTCTTTATTCCATGATCCAACTCATCCCAGATGTTCTAAATAGGTTGCGACCCTGAGCTCTGGGCAGGCCAGGCAATTGGATTAACCCCTTTGCACTATACAAATGCATAGTGGACCTCACAACATGACAGCTGGCATAGTCATCCTGAAAGTAGTATGGGTCCAACGCCAAAAACTCCCACAACATAGGAAACATCCCGTTATCCAGAATAGTTCAGTGGATGTCTGCGTTGAGCTTACCATAAATTTGGATCAAGGGTCCCAGTGCATGGGCACAATGCATTCTGTTGACAGACCTTAGACCTTGACATCTGAATGTTGGAGGGTGTACCTTGATTATCGCTCCAAAGAACCCATTTCCATTGATCTAAAATGGTCCATGGTCCACAGTCAGTGTGCATTGCATCATATTATCCAAGCAGCTGGGCTAGACTTTGTGATTAAAGGCTTATGAGTGGCAGCATGACCATGAAAACAAGCAGATGTGCTTCCTTTATGAATGATGTTCATCAAAACAACACTCCTGGATGCCTGTTGAAACTTCTGGAGTATGTGGGCCATCGGTTAGGTGTATTTCTTCTGATAGCACTTGTAAGTCCCTGTCTGCCAGTATTATGGATCTGCCAACTGAGGACATTCTGACGATCACCACTCACTTTCCACATCTGAATCACATAGGCCATTGTCGATTTTGATAAATTCAGCTGGCTTAACAGATCGGCCATTTCTGTGATACCTGATGATTATGCCTTTCCTAAAATCAGATAAATCTGCATTTCATGGCATCTTGCATGTGACTAATGCCAACATTCTTTCTTATGCTATATTTATTGGTAGAGGGTTATGACATATCAGGATCATGGTTATGAACATTTGCATGGGTATCCAAATACTTAGTGGTAGATATTGTATTACACCAGTATTAATTAATCGTCTGTCAATAGATGTTAGTAATATGTAGTGTGGTTATATATATGGAGCACATAATAATATAAAATTTTTAATTGGGCAAAAAAACACTTTTATGCTAGGAATCTCTAAAACTGAACCCAACACTGCAGATTGCTATAGTTCTTTTCCACAACTCATTTCAGGAACTAAAACAGGGGGATGGAACAAGTAGTCAAATGAATAGATGGGGCTAGAAACATTAGAATTTTGAAAGTTTTTAGAAAAATGGGATTGGAATTATAATATCACTAATTAATAGTTTTTTTTTTTTTTTTTTTTTTTTTTTTTTTTAAATATTGAAAAAAGGCTCCGAGGAAATCTAAAATTTTTGCATTTTCAAGGTTTATTCTTCACACTCTTTTCCTTTTAAAAAACTATTGTGTGAAATCTATTGCTCCTGATAGAGGCCACACTGTATTGATGAAACCTTTAAACTGAAAAAGTTAAACTGTCAATTAAAAACTGATATTTTGCAATTGTGAAAAACATTGTGCTTTTGTAAGCTAATCATGTCATCCCACTTTTTCCTTTCCTATACTATAAAATTACTCAATAACTTCTCAAGCTCAGCTTTTATATTAATTTTTCTCACCTATCAAAATAAAAGATCTGATTTCTGATTATAATTTTTAAAAGATTTAGTATATTCCTGATCAGCATTGTTAAACATATATTGGCTAAAGCAAGACGGTGTAAAAAGGTATGCATTAAGAAATATATTGTGTTAGGGGAGTGGAGTCTTCAATATCTAATTTATCTCTTAACTGCAATTTTAATTATATTCCATTAAAATTATCCATAAGAATTCTTTTTAATGAATTTGAAGAATCTGTGATATTCACAAAAGTAGCTTTAGTTAAAGATGTTAATTTTTGATAGTTTTAATTCCCCTCCCATCAACAGATAACATGCCTGTATATATGGCTTTTTTCTTCATCCCCATTATAATATCTCCTTCTTCTGGCACAATGATTTATGTCAGCCATTCTTGAAGTTATATTTCAGTTTTATATACAGCTGCACCCCTTGTTCAAATTAGTTTTATTTCCATTTTGAAAAGTATTATATTAGCATTGGCAAAGAATTAACTAGACAGTTAAACAAAATTGTTATTTAGCTGATGTGATTTTTGTATGTTATGTGTGTGTTGGTATAATTAAAATATATTTTTAAAAAAAGTATGTATATGTCATTAACAGAAGAATTTCTCAAAATTGCAGATTATCAAAAATATGATGGTGATTATCAGTGATTTTATAAGTGAAAAAAAATATGCTGTGGTACTTCAGTATATGACATTAATCCATTTTAGATTCTTGGATGTGTACCAGATGAACTTTTTCAATAAGAAATCAAGAAGGAAATAATTAATCCATTCTAATAAAAAAATCTTGTTGCTATTATGACACTGTTTAGTACTGAAATATAAATGCAATGGCTGAAATATATACTTTAAATATTTTTTTTTTTTTTTTTTTCTGTCCAGATCAAAAGCAATTTTTCAATATTCTGTGATGTGTCAGATCTTTGTTTGATTATCAGTTTCACCCCCTTCACAACGTTAGCTGATTTAATGGTATCTTTATTTTTCACAGCCGTAGAACACCATCATACTCGATCTACAGTATGCAACAGCCAGGTCCTAAATGTGCAGGTCATCTTCACACTCTTTTCAACAACCTTTAATCACCTTCATGGTGATTCTTACAATTATCTTCATTGCTTGTCTCTTCTCATTAACTCTCCTAAAACTCATTGTTAAGGAATTTACAAAAAGTTTGTGAAAAAACATAGTCACTTGAAAATTCAGAGTTTACAGCATGGGCTGTTTATTGAATAGTAACCCTGAAAAATTGCCTCTGATCTAAACAGCAGAAAGAAAAAAAAAAAAAAAAAAACATTTAAAGTATATATTTCAGCCATTGCATTTATATTTCAGTACTAAACAGTGTTATAATAGCAACAGGATTTTTTTATTAGAATGGATTAATTATTTCCCTCTTGATTTCTCATTGAAAAAGTGTACTGACATTCATGAACAGCTGTAGCATTGCTTCAAAAGAGGTAAACAAGTATAGTGCTTCCATTCATGACTTGTTGAACTCAAATTGTGTTCTAAACAAATATCATATGCCAAACAAACATTTTAGCATCCAAACAGTATACTAAGATGGACATATTTCAGAATGGATGTATACCGAGATACCACTGTAAATGAAAATTTTAAAAAGTTGATATAATTTTATTGTTTTTCTGATGCACTAAATTTTAATATTTTGTATAGTTTTTATATGGAGAAGATGGCATGGATGTGGGGAAAATGCAGCTGCTGAAAGAAAATCAATTTCATTTACTAGCAAAAAATTATGATGCTGTCATAAATAAAGAACAACTTGAAATGTTGTTAGATCGAAAAGATTCAGACATGGAAAAGCAAAAACGAAAAGTAAGTTTATTTTTTTTTACTTGATGTAATTGGGGGGGGGGGAACTTCATTTGGCTATAGAAAATAGAGGGAAAGAAATGCTGTTATTATTTTATTTCTGTTATTCAGTTATAGGCTCAAATTTCATTAATGATACTATTAATGCTTTTGATGAATAAATATTTGTTAGTAAAAACAAGTGCATTTCTTGATATCAAGTATTGTAAGGAGTGTCATTTTCAATAATCAAATTTGCCTTACTATCTGTTTTTTCTTATTACCCTCAAGATCTTCTCTGTTAGAAAAGTAATAGCTATGAATGTGTAAATGTTATGTATATTTATTTAATCAGTATTTTTTGTAAGGAAAAATTGTCATTGAAAATTTGAGGCAACAGAAGTAGTTCAAATTTTAATTTTATGCAAATGCACTTCACCATGATGGATTTCAATTTCTGACTTTCACTTAATTCTAATTTATCCATCCTTCTGAGCATTTTATTGGATTTTCTGCACCTTTTTTATCCAGTTCAGTAGAATTTGCATTTTGAACAGTCATAGAAAGTGAGGAAAAATTCAATTTGCTCACCACAGAAAGACTGAAAATAGTCATCTCAAAATAAAACCTTTTTAAAGTGTTTATTGTTTTCACCCTGTGATAAAGCATGTCTGTGAAAAATTGACAGTGTTGTTAGGTGGTGATGTACAAAATTTGATGTTTATCCTCCTTATTATATAAGTGCGGTTGTTAGTACAGCATTTTCTTAACAATATTCTACAAACATTAGTGCATAACACAAATGTCATACATGAAGTGTTTATAATACCCTGCAGTTAGTAAAATTTATAATTTCTTCTGGAATTTGCTGTCATCTATATCTAGAACAAAATTGAATGTTTTTAATGAAATTTTGTAGTAACATTTGATGATAATATTAAATTATGTATATGTAGAGAGAGATTAATAGCCATGAAATGTGGAGAATTTTCTAACAGGAAGACAGAAATTAAAATCAATTGAATCAAACCCTTGAAGAAATTTCATAAATGCTTGTCATGCCTATGTCCCTCCTGAAAGTTAATGAAAAATAATCAGAGACGTTACATAAATAATGCAAAAACAAGTTGATAATATGTGTGATATTTTTCAGAGAGTAGACAAAAAAATTATAAATTGTGTCACATTTCTGATTTTGTATCTTAATAAGTTGCTAATTCTGACTAAATTTTTAGAAGAAAACATAAAGAAACTTTAAAAAAAAATTAAACAATATAATTTAAATTAATGATTTACATTCATAAACCAGTTAAGTCTTAAAACTGCTCCAGTGCTATGCTTCTTTTCTTGCTTTCTAATTTATATTTATTTATATATGTATTTAAATTGTGTTCAAATAGTAACATATTTTTTTCATATTTTGTTATGCTCTTATTGTATTTTTTTTACATTCAAAAAGGAAATGCAGAAACAAACAGAACTTTTCAAATTAATTTTGAATGACTTTTAATTTTATTCAGCATTATACAGTCAAAAGTCGTTAATTCGGACGCCCATAATCCGGAATGATCTATAATCCGGACCTCAAAGCTACAAACTTTCTGCGCATGCATCGCGTTGACGCATGCGCGTAAGACCTTTACCGCGGCGAATTTGCGTGTGCGCGTGCGCAAAATACGTTTACGAAAGCGCGTTTAATGTATAATGGACGGAATAAGCTAAGCTAAAATTATCTAATTATCTATTTCAGTTAATGTTGCAGATTGCGTTGTACCTTAATCTTCGAATTGGATCCAAATTATTATTTTTTGCAGACTGTTAGAGCAATTTTATAAAAGTAAGCTTGAACTTTCGATTATGTCAAATAGAATTTCCGATATATATTTACTAATATGTAAAGGATATACAAAGCGAAAGTATCTTTCGGAGTCCATTAAACAAAAAGTGGAATTGCTGCAAAAAATGGATAAAGCCATATCCTTTGTTTATCTTAACTTTAACGTTTGTTTATCTTTAACGCGGTGCGGCGTGCAATGAATTGGAAGTTGATCCGTCAGCACTATCCTTATCTTAAGGGCAGATGTTTTTATTTTATTTGGCTTATAATTGCTTACTCAATGTAGTATTTCATCTCGATGTACTCCGTCTTTGATATGATTTAAATCAAATTCCTCGTCATTATAATTTGCTTCCGATAGCGAAGAAAGTGACAGAGGTTATTGAAAACAAAAAATTTTCGATTGACAAATTAGTCGGTATTCTCGACACAGCAATTATAGGACTTGAACAGCGGAACTTTGTATCTGAACAAGAAATTATGTCTGTTTATAGAATTAAAGAGAATGTATTATCACATAAAAAACGAAGCAACTTAAACAACTTACATTGAAAGAAATGTTTAATAAAGTAAACAAATAAATATTAAGCTTTTTTTTTTGTAAATTTTGATACCCTTTAGATCATAATTGTTCTTTATTTCATAAATTACGGTTTCATATTTTTAATTTTATAATTTCTGCATGCCATTTCACCAGATTTAAACTGATGATCTATAATCCGGAAAAATCGATAATCCGGAATCGCCGAAGTCCCGACGAGTCCGGATTAACGACTTTTGACTGTAAATAGTTTTGTGGTCTAGCAACACTAGATGTTAAATTTATTTAAGAAGAGAAGTAAACTATTTGCATGCTTTTTCGGATTTTTTAGTTTTATTTATTATTATTATTTTCTCTAAAATTTTCAAATTGAGTCTTTTTTTTTTTTTTTTTTTTCTTTCCAGTTTTAAACTAAATATTAAAAAGCAACAAGCACAACTATATTTGAAAATTTTGAGAGTAAATATATTCTATCTTGGGGTAGAGGAGAAAAAAATGAACAGCAAGACTAGGGAGCAGCGAGAGAGATTTAGAAAATTAAGCTTTACATAATACTTATAATTTTTTGTTCTTCATTAATGACTTTGTCTAATATATTTGCATTATATTATCAGAACTTAAACTGCGACAGAGGCTGGGTTCAGTACTTCTATGTTTTTGAGATGATTTAGCTGGAACACAATTTCTTTGGATTAATTAGAACCTTTAAACAAGAAGACTTCGGTTCTTCTTTTATAACAGTGAAGCACATGTTTAGGAGAAAATTCTTTGAATCATGAAAATTTTGTTTTGATTATGAATCTACCTTAAAAACCGATTTAACTAAATGCATGTATGTCTGTCTCTGGCTAACAAGCCCTTTGATGATCAAGTTGAGAGAATAGAAAAATCTTCATGCACACATCATCAAAGGCTTTTTGTCTAGGAAATGTCGTGAATCCGTGAGAAAGGGTTTTTAGTTCCTGAAAAAAATAGAAGTGGAACTTTTGGAAAGATTTAATTAAATAAAGAGGAAGGTAAATAAATAAATAAACTGAAAGGTTTCAGATTTTAAATTGCATCCAAAGGGGCCTTTTTTAACATTTTGTGTGTTACCTTTATATATTAAATATCCTGTTCTTTGCACTTAAACCATAAAATTCAGTTCAAGGGCAGTATCGCAAAATAATTTTAATTTAAGCATATGTTTGGAATTTCCGATACACAGTCTCACTCGCTGGAGGTAAAATGTTTTTTCTGTACAATGTTGCCATACAGAAAAAAACATAAGTGTTTTGAAATCCTTCAGTTTGTTAATCAAAAATTTGTTAAAGTTTTGCGAAATATGAAATCGATAATAAAACAAATTTCAAATTTGGACTTCCAGATCTCATATTCGTAGTAGGATTACGTCATTCAAAATTTTATGTCTCTAGGTACCGTTGTTTTATCACAGTGCAAGAAACATACATACATTTATGCAGATTCTTCATCATTTAATATCTTTAAATATAATGTAGAGCAATAATATTAGGTGACAACAAAAGAAGAACAAAGAAAAGTGATACAAGCTTTTAAAGTTTTCAACGCAAAATGCTGAAATGAAAACAATAGTCCCTCGGGGACAAAAAGTGCCTTTGGACTAAAAATTTAAATACAGAGGAAAAGAAATTATACAATGTTTATTTAACTCATCTCTTGGCAATTTATGCATTATATTACTAACGATGGATGCTTTGAAACTGTGTAAGATGAAACTTTCTCCTGAGGTTTAATTTCTTTACTGATGAATTTCCTATGAAACTACAGTTTTCATTCATTTCTGTATAATTCCCAGTACAGAAGAATAGTTTGTCTTAAGGCTGTCTATTGCTAGTGTTATTCATTATGTGTCTTTTGAATTATGATTTGAAGTTATATAACCATGTTTTTATTATATTGGTTTTTTGATATTAGTTTAAAGGAAAATATTTTTATGGGAGTGACCACAATGACCCATTTGTAGCTTACGATAGAAGTTTTGGCAATTCTTTTTCTAGTTGTTATTTAACATAACTTGAACAGAAAAGATTTTAATGTGTATATTTCAGGGATAAAGAAATACTTTGATAATAATTGAGAAGATGAAGGCAAGTCTGATTAGATATTTAATATAAAACTGAATTTTAATTAAATTGTCATATTTTTGATAGGGCTGTATTTTGATTAAGTGCAGGGTACTCTAAAACTATAAGTCTACCATGAGGTTTAGCTTCATGGAATTTTATTTTTTATTCAGCTTCATATTATATGTATGGGAAATTCCAAGTAGCGAGTCCTTTGGTTGAGAAATTATTTTGCGTGAAAATATGCTAATTTTTCAAAAGCAAGGAATTTAAAGGCGTTATTACCTTAAACTCAGACAGGTGCGAAAAAAATTTTAGCTTCCTAATTCATTATTAAATGTTTAAAACAAAATCATGCTATTTGTCCATTAGCAAAGCATTTTTTTCCTCCCTTTTTATATTAAATTGTGAAATTAAAAAGTGTTAACTTGCAGACTGCATTTGACATTAAAAAAAGAGAACATGTGAGCAAAAAATAAATAATATCTTGATATTCGATAAAAGTAAACATTGTTTTATGTATGTGAAAGTTTAATTTATGAAAATGATGATGTTATTACATTTATTTAATTACCATAAGAGATGCTTTTGTTATTGTTCATGATCTAAAGTTGTGTATAATATGTAAATAAATGTCTAAATTAAGATTAAAAAGTACATTAAAAAAAAAGAACCTAAGGAAGAAGTTTTAATAATCTTCAAGTGAAATTCATGTAAAAAATAGTTCACTGATAATTGTAGATATCAGAATAAGCTAGGGATATGGAATTAGAGTAAAGAGTTAGGAGATTAGAGATGAGGAATGAAAAGGTAAATGGAGTTAGAAAAAAAATCTCATCTTGCTCCCCAAGAATGCACCAATGACCAAGCGGAAATTTTGCTGAACACTGGTAGCTCAGCCTGGGTTTAATTAAAGACAAATGGGCCGTTTGCATGGACATTTTCATAGTTTTTCCCTTATGTAATATGATTATGAGCCAGTTTCTCTTAGAAGGTCTACCATGAAGGCTCCCCTTCCCTTAGACAAGTAGCATGCTTTTCCATAATCAAATAAACCAAACTCATTTTGCTTCTCCCATTTGACCTTGAAACTGAGACAGGGGAGAAATGATAAAAAGACATTCCATATATCACAAGTCACAAGCAGGAAGGAAAGTGAGACAAAATGTCGTTTTGGACGAAAGTATAAAGAACCATTATTTAGTTGCATACAATGTCACTGTTTCTAGCATTCTGTCTGTTTTTAATAGTGACCCTTTAACCATTTTACCATTTTTCATTGATGTGCTGGAAAACGAATGTTTTTTTTTTTTTTTTTTTTTTTTTTTTTTCTATTATCCTTTAAAATACTGTATTAAATATTTATTTAGAGCTTAAATTCAGTGTGGATCGGCTATGCTGTTTCTTAGTTTTTCTTGTGAGATTTTAAATCCAGCCACAATCCCAAATAAGATGAGATTCGGCATTTTATTTATTTAAATGTTCATCATAAATTTAATAATTTATTGAATATTAATTTATCTCATTATGTTTTATTGAATTTTAACTATGTATTATTTTATTAATAGAAATATTTTTTTAATATTATTTTATTTTTTGTTTTTATTTCTGATTGCCTTCTGTAAGGCTTTGAATTTAGAAATTAAGTCCTGTATATGATTGATTGAAAGCATCTACTGGTTAAATGAAGTTGAGCTTAATTGTGAGAAAACAGTCACTTATCCATTTTTATACTCAGGTTATATGAATTTTTATAAATAATATCTAAATTTTGACTAACTTCAAATATCAGGTTTAATACTTTAGCATATTTCTGTTTTTTTTTTTTTTTTTTTTTTTTTTTTTTTTTTTTTAAATTGAAACTCACGATTATGTTATACAAAAAGTACTGGCTGCATGGGTGTTTTTGTGGGTTTCCCCATGTGAAATGTGTGTATGCAGTGGAGTAGCGAGCATAACTGGCATCCGGGGTAAAATACCTTTTTGGCACCCCCCAGAAAAAAACAGTGATATGATGAAAATCTTGTTTGGAGACCATTTGGCATCTTTCTGCGAGTGGTGCCCGGGACATCATACACCCCCCCTCAATATGCCACTGTGTACACGAGCCAATTTTCCCTTAGAAAGTTCTTCACAAAGGCATCTCTGCCCTTAGTCATGTAGCTCTTGAGGCTTTGCCGTAATTAAATAAACCATATACAAAAAGGATATCATGAAATAGAATTTAATTCATATTTATTGGAGTAAAGCACATTAGGGCTATCTACGTAAAGGGTAGGATGTCTTCACAGAGGAATCAAATAGCAGACTTCACTTCAAATAATTGAAAACAATAAATTATTTTGCTGTCATTTTAGTATACTATGCATTAATAATTAAATTCTACTGAATATTGTTATAGAAAAATTTGTTGTAGCCATTCTTTTTCGAGACATCATAGTGATTGTTATTAGCATAAACAGTGCTATTCTAACTAAATACATTAAACTTGATTTTGTACATATGTAACAGTAATAATTGTACATATGTAATAGTTTTTTAATCTCATTTTATTTTGTTTTAACTATTTTAGATAAAGAAATGGAAAAAAAAACACAGTTCTTCAGAGCCTCGCTTATCACTGATAAATAAGACTGAAATTCCACCAGCATTTTCTGATTTGAAAAAGAGACTTCAAAAAATATTGAATGAAAAGCAGAATATTGATGAATATGTCAAAAAAAAGTTTGTTATTTTATATTAGGATAACTACCATAATTGTTGATTTTTTTTAATTGCATTCATTGTTAAATTTAAACAAGAATATAAGTGTTATAAAGTGTACTTTTGGATTTTTTTTAGCAAGGAGGGGGAAAGAATTTCGTAAATATGTCAAAATAAATTTCATTTTCCTTTTTCATATTGTCTGTTATTTTCCCTTCATACACTTATCTAAAAAAAATTTTTTTTTTGGGGGGGGGGTATTTTTTTTTTATTTATTTATTTATTTATTTATTTTTTATTTTGCATCTAGTTGTAAATGCACTTCTTTCTGACAGTTACCCTTAGGCAGTACATTAAAAATAACTCATATAGGTCAAGTAAAAGCTTATAAAAGCTGGAAGGTGTAGTTCATTCAGATAATATTAAATATACTACGTACTATTTGAATACTGTATTGAGTTTTTTTTTAAAAAAAATGGTAGTTAAAGCTCCTATATCTATTATTATTTAAGACACATCTAATTTTGAGTAAATGTAGCTATTTCTGAAATAGCTTCTGTTAAGCTTAAATACATTTACAACTTATGAAATTTCATTTGTTTCCATAATTTGGTCTTTGGAAATTCATATATGCTTACTTAAAAATTATAGATGTTTTTCAAGAAATGTAATTTTTTCTAGTAAATCTCTTCTTCATTTGCATATATTTGCACAAAAATTTTAAAGATACATTTTTTAGTAAGCATTGATTAAATCATTAAAGTGATAATATATTATTTTTTCAAAGTAACATTAAAATAAAATATTTGTTTTAATTTGTTGTGTTATAAAATATCTTTACATTTTGTTTTGGAAATTTTTGAAAATTTTATCAGTTTTTTTTTAACTTTTTAGCAGAAGCAATAAAGCTTCTATGAAAAATGTTAAAGGCTAATTTTCTAATGATAAGTATTTTTCTGCATGTAATTATTTCAGAATATTCTGATAAGTTCCAGTTTTATCCCTAAAATTTTCTTCTCTCCCAAATATTCTGAATTTTTTTTTTTTTTTTTTTTTAAATTATTCTCAGAAAGTTGGCGATTGTTCTTTAAAATGTTAGGTTAAAAAACTGAATTTAATAAAATGCAGAGTAACATAATCAATGACTTTCAAATTGTCAATTTAATCAGTATAAATGTTTGTTTACCATTTTAATTGAATTTTATGTTTAGTATTTAAAGGCAGTGGCTATAATAATCATTATTTAAAATATTTAAATTCATATACTGAAAGAATTAAAATGAACTGTGTATTATTTGTGGAAAATTTCAGGTTTGAACGAAAACATGGTAGATGTCCCGACCCAGTTAGTTCTAAGTTTAAACCCGATGTAACATTTGGATCTGTAACAGAAAAATTGGAGTCAGCAATTTCTGATTATGTAGCAAGAAACCCTCATGGACTTCTTCATTATGATACTGAAGATATTTCAGGAAAGTTATCAGCTGAGAAATTTCAGGATTTGTGTTATTATCGAGCTATGAAATCTTTAGCTGAACCTGGTGAAGCAGTTGGTCTCTTAGCTGCTCAGGTAATTTTTTTAAACATATTTTCTAAAATTTAAATATTACAAAATTTATGTAGTACAGTCAAATACCGAAAATCTGCCAACTCCTGAAATCCGTGCTGCCTCTCAGAATATAAACATTCAGTTTATAGGTTCCGGAAACCACAACATTGAGTACGAAATATTGAAGAAAAAAATACTTATCCAATAAATAACGTTGTAATTACCGAATAAAAATGAGTTAAAACGGAAATACCAAATTATTGATATAAAAAATTTTAAAAAAATAAGACAAAAGTAAATAAGTTTTTTCCCCTCTAATCTGCATCGAGGTAAAAAAGCAGACGATTGACTGAACTCTTTAAGCTCACAATTCATGTTGTATTTTCTGAGCTTTGTTATTTCATTTGACGAGATTGCTTAGTGCTGCCTTTTTTTATATGAATATTTTGTGAATAAATTAAGAATATTTTCAATTTCAGCCCTTTTTAATACAATGGCAGATAAGAAACGCACTCGTGACTTTACTGCTTGCAATGTTGCAAAACATAAACACGTTGCATTGACGATAACGCAAAAAGTGCAAATTCTGCAAATGATGGAAGCAGGTGCTACTCCTCGTTTTATAGCAGAATCGTATGGAATTGAGACACGATTGTGTATGATATACGGAAAAATAAAAAAAAAGCTGTTGAAAATTTACAGCAACAGTGATTCTAACACTGGAATCTGAAACGGGAAATCTTTGCATGAGGAGAAATCAGCAAACCTTGATGCTGTGTACATATAATACAATGAATAATATAATCAATTTATATATGTAACAATAATGCATATAATAAATTATTGCAATAATGTATATAATAATTTAATTAAACGTATATAATACACCTTATTCATTTTGCACTTTTAGTCCGAATATTTATGCTTTATCTTTTCTGTCCTGAAATCCACAAAATCCTAAAATCCGCCCAACCTCTGGTCCCAAGCTTTGCAGATTTCTGGAATTTTACTGTATTTATTACACTTTCCTTCTGTTTCAAAAATTGTAAATAACTATTTTATATATCAAAAAGACCTGTGCATTAAAAAAAAAGTATTTTTAAAATTTGTTCACAAAATTAAATTATATTTTATTGATTCAAGAATACATATGATTTAATTTTATTGTTTATATTTTTCTTTTAGCTCTTCACTCTTAATTGTAATAAGTATTTTCATAATAACTAGCCTACCTTTGTTTGTATAATCAATAGTTTAAAAGTAATTTTCAGTTGTTTCTTACTTTATGACTCCTGTTCTGAAGATCATAGAAATATACTCATTTTTAAAGAGAAATGCCTGTAGTTTAGGGTGATATAAAATTTGAAATAATGATAACAAAATATTGTTCGTTAAGCCATGAAAAAATTATTATAAAAATTTGAAAATTCTCATGAAATAAGTAAAATAAAAGTGTGTTTGGAATTGAAAAATTAAGCTTCTCTAAGTGTAGATGTTTCAGGTACAGGACTGTACATATTTAGAATTTGGAGGCTGCCACCATCTTTCCACAATGCATCAAATTCACATAATCAAAATCGCAATAACAACCTTGTATTTAGCATACATATATTAAAACACTCAATCGATTTCGAGGGCAGCTAAAGACCACTCCTCATCAAGAGAATGAAATTGCTAGAAAGGGAAAAAAAGAAGAAAAATAAAGCATCGGCAAAGGAGTCTCGGAAACACGTGATCGTTATCAGCACTGCACGTGGTCGTAACCGGATTTTGAATCAGAGTCACACTGATTCAAATTGACACTTTGACTGAAAATGATTCACTCTGAATTGCATTCTTCAGCTTCTGCTCTCCCATCATTTGGCACTTTGGAATTCTTGTTGGCTTCTGAATTTTTTTCAATGAATTCCTGTTCTTCAGGTGTTGGAAGATTTCGAGCTTGATTCATTTTCTGGGAGTTTCAAAAATCTGACATCATGACTTTGTGTTACTTCACGAGTTCCAGGTCCAATAATTTTGATTTGAACATCAGACATCTGACCGTTTCAACCAGGGTACGAATGCCACATTCTGCAACTCCATTCTGTTGTGACACAATTTCACATTTTTGTATTTGACTGAGAACTGCTGTTTAATGCCTTTCTTTTCTAAGAATTCATTAAATTCCTTGCTTTTAAATTATTTCATATTATCACTGTGGGGTACTTTAGTTGCTTCCCCATGTGCTTCTCAGCCTGACATTTGTATTTTTTGAATGCTTCAAGAGATTTGGACCTTTATATAAATCATACAGAGTAATTTTCTGCAGTTTGTTATCAATGAATGTTATGAAATATTTTGCACTGCCTAAAGATGTGACTTCTCTACAAAATTCTTATAAGATCTGTCTTGACTTGTGCACCAAAGACTTGGTCATCGACTTTTCATGATGAGGAAGCTCTGCGAATTTTCAAGCGAAACATCTTGTGTTGCATTTTTGATGGGGTCCAAGTTAATGGATTGTGGAGAAGAAGATCTAATTTAGAACTCTATAAAATTTACAACCAACCTAATATTATAAAGTTCATTAAGTTACAAAGATTTAAATGAGTTGGCCGTCTGGCTAGAATGACTCAAGATCGTTGCTGCAAGAAAATCGTTCTGGCAAAGTCTGTTGGAATAGACCTCAGGCCAGACCCCTGCTAAGATGGATTGACTGTGACAAAAAAGATCTTAATATTTGAAAGGTTAGAAACTGGAAAACAGTCGCCAAAAGTAGAGATGCCTGGAGAAGGCCAGGGCTGTTGAGCAACTGAAGAAGAAGAAAGATGTGATATTTATGGGACCAAAGATATCGGTATGTACAAGTTCTAGAACTTCAATATTTACGGTGTGTGTTTCTTTTGGCAATCGTAACCTTGCTTGTTGGTACACAAGTTTTGCAAAAAAGCATTTCATTATTACGTTTTGGAATCTTTAGACCATGCACCAACTTTTTGTAATGCAATACTTTTAAGTCGGCTAGGTTTAAGTTACCACACATTTCATGCCACAGTTTCAGTTTATTGTGTTATGTATTTGCACTGCCCTTTGCAACATTTGAAACCTCGAATACATCCTGTTGATTTACAACATAGAGGCCATTTTGCTTGATTACATGTAAGGCTACATGCTTGTTTTTGTCTTCAACCCATTGTTATTTCTAAAGTAGACAGATTATTTACATTGCTTTGCCAAGTTAACTGAAATTAAGTTCATTTTATAGATTGGGAACATATAATACATTATTAATTGTGATGTGCTGCAAAATTGAATTGACCCTTGCATAAATTTCAACTTTGCCTTTCCCTTTGACATCTGAAAATTCATTATTTGTTAATTTCACTTTTAATTTCAGTTATCAGTGTGAATTTATTTCTGTCATTGCAGATGCTGTTACTCCTGAATCTAGGTACCAATTATATGTTCCTTATTCTCATGTTGTTGTATTGATAATGGTGAGAGAACAATTTGGTTTAGGAAATTCGTGATTGGGATTTTTGCTTTTGTCTACATTCTGAGGTTTTGTGGCCTTTTTTGTTACAGTTATAACCCGTGAAGGTTTTTGCATTCTTGGATTTCTTTTTTGCGTTGCCATGATGTTTATTAACTGACAATCCTGCGCTTGGCTGTTTTTCTGCGCTTTAAATTTGCAAGTTGAAGATTCTTCTAGTAATTTATCTTTTATGTGTTTAAGTCAGGCAATTTGTCATGAGCTTCTATCATGATTGTAAAACTTTCAAATTCTTCAATTAGTCTACATAATAGCAAAATAGTTAGGAATTCTTCAGAAATTTCAGATCCTATTTCTGCGAAGAAAGAAGTTGGGTAATCGTGCAGTTTTACATTTGCATTCATCTTTTTGGAGATAAGTTGCTTCATGAGGCTAACTTTAAGGCTTTTAGTAATAGGGCCTTTAGGCTGATGAATTTTGTGCATTTTCATCCATGTCTTGTATGAAAATTGACATTTTTTAATATAGACTACTTCAGATCATGTCATGCTCATAGCAATAATTGCTAAAGCTTTTTGATCTTTTGAAATCCACCTGTCAGTTTCAGCTTGGTTAGTTTCTGAAGTTTCTGGCTTGACTAACTGCCTGCTTGTGACTTCTGTAAGTTCTGACTGGATTAATTTCCTTTTCACTTGAAACTGCCATTTTTGGTTGTTACCGTTATCCAATTTCTCAATAAAGAAGTGATTTTTCTTACCTTATTTTACACCAAAAAACACAGATGTTCAAATTACTGCTTTTAAATTAAGGTTCTTGAGAGTGAAATGCAGCAGTGTAAAATATGATTCCCTACCAAAAGAATAAGTACACTTGTTGTAAGTTGAAAGCATAAGATTTGATGGGTGCTCTCCCTTGTAATAAACATAATATGTTTAGCCTGGTAAACAAGCCTGGTTTCTTGCTGGCCTGGTAAATTATTTCGGATACTGTGCTAGATTCTTGTTACAATCCAGTCTTCCACAGCTATATTCCACTGCAGATTTCCATGGCTTGAAATTGCCACATGACTCTGGAATTATTCATGGTTGTAGGCACATCAGGAGGACACACAGTCTTCACCGCCACTTAAGAGAATTTCTATTGCAGGATTAAATACTCTACCTTCTTCTGCTCAGCGTAGCAACAAAGGAGAAAATTTCCAAAATGAGAGTTTAACTACGTAGCACATTTTTGTAACCAAGATTTTTTTAAATATAGATTTTGTGCATAACAACTGACTTTAGTGAAAATTTTTAAGAGAGATTTTTAAGAAAAACAAAAGTCTAAAAATAAATCTCTATTAAATTGTGATCTACTTTGTTGAATATTAATGAAAATATTCTACGTTTACGCAAATTACATAGAACAAGGTTTCTCAGCTGGGGGGATGCAATCAGTCTTTTATTTAATTGTTAAGTATTTAATTTTAGTTTATGAATATAAAAAACAACTTTTACTCAAAGGTAAGGAAGGGAGTGAACTATCTTCTAGTATTGGTGTCAGGGGTGCATGAGGCAAAAATAAATGAGAACCCCGATGAGGGAGTTTTAGCTTCAGGGGGGAATGTGGTCATCATTTTTATTTAACTGTTAAATACTTAGCTTTAGTTTATGAATATGAAAACTACTTTTATTCACATTTTGGTATTTATTAACATTTTCTATAGTTTTTCTTGTTTAATTTTTAAAACATGTTTAAAAATATCTAAATTTAAATAAATGCATATGTATTTTTCAAGTTTTTAAAAGGGGGGATGGTCATCTAGCAGTGTTGATAGGGATGTATGGAGAAAGAAAAGGTCAAGAACCACTGGTTTGCACAGTTGTGCCATTTGCTCCAAATTCTACCTAACAGTTTATGCAGGGTCAAATTGCTGCATATTTTTTAATGCCAATTTTGTGTTAAACATTAATATAAAATTGAGACTTTACTTGCTTCTGCAAATCTATTGTAGAAGCAAGATTTTAGAAAATTTTTAACCGCTTCTTTGCCATGTTTTAGATCATTTTTTGTTTTATTAAAAATTTAAGCGAAATTGCTGCATAGATTTAGTAGAGAGCAAAGCTTTTTATACTTTATTCTGGTGAATATCCACAAATATGCAAGAACTCCTTGCACTAACATTCCTACTATAAGATTAGCATTACATTTTGCAAAATTTTAAAAGTTTCAGCAGTTGCTTCTTCTTTTTCATATTAGTCAAACCTATGAATAAAAAAATTGCAAATATATTCAAAGCCTATTGTGTTAGGCATGTTTATATCTCTGCAAATAAAGCACTATATGAAGGAGAGCATGACACACTAATGGTAATTTGGAAGCAATTCGTGGAGTTTCCAACTCTTCTGATTTAGGTGGGAGATTTCCGACAATACTCTCATCAACCTGATGTGCAATATATTTCTCCAGACCTTCTCTTATTATTGAAATGTCTCATGGTTTTTATGTAGCTTGGAATAATAAATAATACAGTATTTGCACCCAAAAAGGTGCAAATACTGGGTATTCAATAATACAGTATAAAGCATTTAATTTTCTCTCTACATACATATAAAAGAAAAATGGAGTTGTTTCATAAATGAGATATAGCATGTTTCTGCTTTGTGTGTGAGAATCCAAAAACATAGTGTTCTAGTTTTTCAATGAGAATCAAATTAGCCAATGAGCACAAAGTAGGTTTGAGGTTTTCTATGTTGTTCATCTTGTCGGTGAGCAGCGCAAGTTTCACGTGCTTCCCAGAAACAGTTTTAGAAACTGTAATTTAATTGTGTAAAGGAAATGCAATATTGCAATGTGTACTTTTTGTCATTGTGATTTTTCAATTTCGCACAGTGGAAGGGACAACGTTCTTAAACATATGCATACACAAGGGCAACATGAGTCATACTGGAAAAAAAGTGTTTCTGGGGAAACAAAGGTCCAAAAAGTTACTAATGCAGAATGTCTGTTCTCTCTCTTTTTGCTAGAGCACAAATTGCCTCTGAATACTTTGATCAGTGCTTCAGGTTTTCTAGAAAAATGTTTCCTAACAGTAAAATCTCTAAGAAATACTCAGGTGTAAGAACAAAAATATCTGCAGTTTTAGAAGAAATGGGCTCAAAAAATTGATATGCAGTGCTTCAGGTTTTTTAGAAAAATGTTTCCTAACAGTAAAATCTCTAAGAAATACTCAGGTGCAAGAACAAAAATATCTGCAGTTTTAAAAGAAATGGGTTCAAGAAATTGATATGAAAAGTAAATCTTTAGTTATTGATTGCATTAACCCCTTCGAGCCACGCGCGCTTATCGCTGAGGCCGGCAGTGTCTTACGCGAGCGTCTCTCCAGGGCCGGGGGCTTTTTTGCTACTAAGCCTAAATCCATGAAATGTCCGAAGTATCAACGCATTGTTTAATAATGCTCTATAGAGTATTTAAACGGCTTATGCTTTATAAATATTTTTTATATATATACTTTAATTACCTTATTTCTTGTTTAAATGCATATTTTACACATTTTATTTTAATTGCTCACCATTTTATGAATTTTAACATTATACATCTGAAAACTAAATATATTACTTATTCTCTTTTCGTATGAAAAATTTGAAAACAAGGATCTACACACAGTCCTACGTTACATTCCTTGCACTCGTAATAACTCATTTGCCGTTTTGGAGGATTTTTCCGGGAATGTGAACAAACGAAGCATCGTCGTCTCATTTTCTTATCAGTCTCTTCTGAACAAAGTTTTGGAAAATGTCTTTCAGTTAACTGAAATATTTTGCATCATTTCTGCTATTTCATGCTCTGTTAAACATTTTCGACGCTTCGACATTGCAATGGTAAAAACAAAGAATTCACGTCTAACAAGATCTAATTATTTTCTAAAAACTGAACTGCAAACCGAAATATCCAACGCTTTAGAGCAAATAAAACTTCTCTACTTACAGTAAACAACTACCACGTGCGAATAAAGTGCGATTTAAAGAGACGTCATAAATCACAGCATTCGAAAACATTTATTTCCCCGTTTGTTTATATAATCAAAACACGTGTATGTGAGTCATGCTTTTCTCATTTTGAGTAGAAGGTCTAATTTACATGTATCTGAAACCATATGGACATACAGTGCCATCTTGTGGCAGAAATTATAGTTTGAAAAACGTTCCAAAGTACTGGCACAAATACGTGACAGTCGGTAGAGAATGGAACAATCCTCTGGCACGCCTGCATGTCGGCCGGTAGGTAAGTGCGTTCGTTGCTGGCACGTATACGTGACAGTTGGCGCGAAGGGGCTAAAACAGTCCCATTCTGCCTTTTTATGGATGGAGGCAATAATACCGTTGCAAAACTGTATCCATTTTTTTTTTTTTTTTTTTTTTTTTTTTTTTTTATCTAGTCGTCTTAAATTGATTTTAGTTTACTTTCTGTCCCCATTTCAAAAGGAGATTCGACAGAGTTTAATGTCTATCACAGTTAATTATAGCACTTTAAAAGTGCAGTTCTTCAGGATAATTGCTTAGCATTTAGTGCTAGCAATGCACCAGGAATGGTAAGCTTGAAGACTGGATGACTTGTGTTCCAGTCATCTTTTAAAAAAAAAGTAAATTCATATGTTCAAATTATGAAAGGAACCTGTCATCTCTTAAATTTAGGAGTTGAAAGAGGATCAGCTTTGCCAATAAGTGTATATGAACACGTTGATATTTATTATTATCTTGGAAAGATTGTTACCCACTTATTAAATAGCAGTAGATATCTTTTCACTTAGCATTTGTTTCATTTTCCCCTTTTAATCACAATAATATTTAGGTTTATATAAATTAAACATACTTAATCTGAACTGTATGTAAACTATTTTTTCCGTAGTTAACTTTTTCCGTAGTTTCCGTAGTAAAATGCGGTTTTGCCATTCATACAGTGTGTTAATGGCATAACCCCTGCATTTGGCAAGGGTTTACTCTATTGCATAAATGATTCAGTTTAATAAAATCTTACAGTAAGCCATAAATAGGACCTCTGTTAATAGGAAAAGTTACTTCAACAAGAAATTAATTTACCAAAGTTTATTATCAAATATATGACTTCATGTCAATGTGGATAAATCTGTGAATTTGCTTAAATTGAGTAAAAAACTGTAATTTCAGAGAAATAATGAATATTAATATGCTGTGGAATAATTTAAAAAATTGAATTTATGAAACGCACAGACATTTGATCTTTATTTTGAAAATCGTCATGTACTAGTAAAAATTATACCTTCAAAGGGAAACTGACTGTTTATTAATTAAACTAAACTATGGAATTTATTTATTGATAGTCATATTATGGTTGATAAATACCCTCTTCGTCTCCTCCTCTGTTACACCAAAATGAGAGCTTGTAAAACTTTTTAATTTTATTTTCATATTGAGCACCTCCAAATTAGTAAAAATTGGGTGCTTTCACTCGTGTAGCAAAATACATGTAAAATGATGTTATTGAACTTTTGCTGAAGTTACAATTTTATATCTAACTTTTCTTTCTTTATAGTCTATTGGGGAGCCATCTACTCAAATGACACTGAATACTTTCCATTTTGCTGGAAAAGGTGAGATGAACGTTACCTTGGGTATTCCTCGTATCCGTGAAATTTTGATGACTGCAAGTGCAAATATTGCTACTCCAACTATGGATTTGCCTCTTCTTGATAAACCGGGGATTGAAGAAGAAGCTGAAAAGCTAAGGCTTCAACTAGCTCCTGTTTCTTTGAAAGAAGTATGTAATAGTCTTTCTATCTACTATTATTATTAGATTATTCATAAAATCTTAAAATTAAAAATTGTTGAAAAATTCCTGTAATTGTCATGAGACTCCTACAACACATTTTTTGCTTTGCTGTACATTTCATGTTAATGATGAATGTTATGTGTTCTCATATTTTATCACATAAACCCTCATTTTCATGCTAGCAGTAATATATAACTTAGGACGGTACTAAGTATAGGTAAGCTATATATTGTTGTGAGATTCATCGTATTTAATAAATATTAACTTTAGTTTAGGTGAATTATTTGCAAGATCATGTTACTATAAAGGGTTATATTATTATGAGGGTTAATAAATGTAATCCGTGCAGCAAACTTTTATTATATCATTTTTATATTTATATGTTGCAATTATCCAGAATGATTGATTTCAAGGGCTTTAATGTTAATTTAAATCTTTTAATTTGGCTTTCAGCTTTGTTTCGTCATAACTTGTAAACTTAATTTGTATAATAATATCAGATATTTGGAAATAATCTGTATAATTTTAAATAATCCTTCGCCTATTTGCAAGCTCAAAAACAACTGTTAAAAGCAAAAATATTATTGTAATTTAATGTTAATGAAATAAAAGTTATGGTCTCATGATAGTGATGAAGGAAGACTATTTGTCTGTGTTTTTTTCATGTTGTATATATCGTAGTTGAATATGGGTGAGAGATGGTAAAATAGTTTAATGTGGTGAAAAATAGGTGCAGGTTGCTTTTTTAATGTGTGAATCAGACTATTCATCTCAAGAATTGTTTTTTAATGAAATAAAATGTTAAATCATTATTAGAACTGCCTCTGACTGTTAATTATGCATTCTACATGGCTGTTCCATCTACAATATCGGCCATGATTGAAATGTTTGTGTGCTTTTTCATCTTAAATTATTCCACATATGGAGGTCACTCTGAAATTTTTTATATTTGGACAGACAATAAGTGGCAGAAATAAAATTAACAGTTAGGTTTGAAAATATAAACTATTTCACCTTAGCAGACTATTTTTTATTGGCCGATTGCAAGTAGTTTAGCATAGAATAAATTTTAGACAGAAGGAAAAAAGTGTTGATGCGAGAACATTATTGTGCTATGATTTTCTGTGAAATTTTCTTAAGGATAAAGAACACACAGGAAGGCCATTGTCAGCAATAATCCCGGGTAATGTGTCTGCACACGTAAAATGTTAATCGATGATAGTCGCTACACCTATACAAATTATACAGAAGGAATTTCACTTTGGATCCACCACCATACATAAAATTATTCATGAAGAATTGCATATGAAATGTGTCAGAATAAGTAAAGAAACCCTTATACTACTTAAAAATGGTGGCCACTGCATTATTTCTGAAATCATAACTGATAATTAAATGTGCATACCATTTTTTTATGTTCATATGTGATATATATGTTCATATGTGATGATGTTTGATTAAATTAACTAATTGTTTTGAAGCATCCATCTGTATTATGAATAAAAAGTGCTTTAACTTTGTTATAACACATTATACAGTATTCTGAAATCTAGTGAATGCATCCATTCATATCAGAAAAGATAAGTATTAGTTAAATCAGAGGGTAAAGGTGTCCATAACATATAATTTAATTAGCAATCGTACATTGTGTGAACAAATAAAATATAGCAAAACCCAGCTAATAGTCCAGTATAGGTTTGAGTAAAACTAAACTGTTTAAAGAACAGTCTTGTTTGAATAAGTAATAATATTTAAATATTTATTTAGTTAAAAAAAAGTAGATTTTACAGAATCTGGTTACAGCTTTAGCAGGTGGCAGGACTAGCAAATAGAAAACCAGTAACGTATCTTTTACTTTGGTTTTTATATATAGGGCAAACAAGTGGGTCCCAGCCCAAAGAGTATTTTTTCACATTCAAAATTATTACATGCAACACAAATGCTGAAAATACACAGTCCAGTCACATTAATGTGACCATCTGTCAAAAGCCAGAATAACCACCTTTCGCAGAGCGGACTGCTGCGAGACGTGCAGGAAGAGAGTCACATAGGTCCCTGAAGGTGTTCTCTGGGATGTTGAGCCATGCCGACTCTAATGCCGTGACCAGCTGCGCTAGATTACGCGGTTGAGGATCCATGGCGCGAACAACTCGATCGAGATGGTCCCACAGATGCTCGATTGGGTTTAAGTCAGGTGAGTTTGCTGGCCAGGGGAGGACGGTAAACTCATCCTGGTGCTCTTCAAACCACGCACGTACACTGGCAGCTGTATGGCACCTCGCATTGTCCTGCTGGAAGATGCCATCATTCCTGAGGAAAAACAATTGCGCATGTAGGGGTGGAACATGGTCCGCAAGGACAGATGCGTACTTTGTATTGATCCTTCGTGCCTTCCACAATGATCAGTGAACCCTAGAGAATGCCCAGGAAAACATTCCCCAGACCATAATGCTCCCGCCTCCAGCTTGGACCGTTCCGGCAATGGTTGCAGGGTGGTTCCTTTCAGAGGTTTCACGCCTTATACGCCAACGTCCATCTGTCCGATGGAGCATAAAACGCGATTCATCCGAAAACGCAACCTGTCGCCACTCAGTGGACGTCCAGCTGCTGTACTGGCGTGCAAATTCTAGCCTTCGCCGTCGATGAACAGCAGTCAGCATAGGTGCACGAACCAGGCATCTACTTCGGAGGCTTAGACGCAGCAATGTTCGCTGAATAGTACTTTGGGAGACACTTTTGGTAGCCCCTTGGTTCATTTTGGTGGTCAGTTGCTCAACGGTAGCCCGTCTATCTGCCCGAACGCATCTCCGCAACCGTCATTCGCCTCTGTCATCTATGGCCCGTGGTGCACCACATTTGCCACGTCGCTGATTTTGGACAGTCCCATTTTGCCATGCATGGTACACTTTTACCACGGCGGCACGCGAACAGTTCACAAACTCAGCCGTTTCGGAAATGCTTCCACCCTTGGCCCGAAAGCCAATGATCATGCCCTTTTGGAAGTCGGATAAATCGCTTCGTTTCTGCATTACGCCAACGATTGAAATGTTTTCCGAAGCCCTCACACACCCTTTTATATACGCTCAACTGCACTGTGCTGCCACCTGCCTTCTGTGATTGGTTATTTAACTCTGACATGGAAAGTACGTGGTGGTCACATTAATGTGACTGGACTGTGTATAAGGCATACGATTAATATCTAGTGAGAAACTATATAGACCAGTTGACACTGTAGATAAAATAGTGAGGAAATTTCGACAAGCATATTTTCAACACAAATACTCAGTTAGAAGAATAAGCAGAAGTAGTTTTCTGTAGTGAAATTTTAAAACTGGATGGTCACCAAAATAATTTAAATATGATCAAGATTATTTTTTTAACATAATTTTCTACAACCAAGTATTATTTCAGGAATTTCATATGTTAGTCGCTACAAAGCAGAATTATATACAAAGGCCATTTTCAAATATAAATTTTCATTTTAAAACCAGTTACACTGGGTGATGATTCAGAAATTTCAGTATTCATTTAACTATTCACTAATTTTACCAAAAGTTACTAATGTAAGTGTGTCCAAATTCTGAAGCTCCCTTCAAGACCTCCATGGCTGCCTAAATGGACCAAATCTGTGAAAATAAAGGTTTTCCCTTCCTTCTGGTGGATCTTTGGACAGCGTGGTTCTTCTAGCCTATCTGGTCGCAAAGGCCGTTACATTTTTCAGCGTTCCTCACAAAATTAAAGACAGCACCTTCTCTTTCCTTTATCATCTTCAAATAACTCACCGTCGCTGTTCTTCTGATTGACGAGGAACTTTTCCCCATTCTCATCCTACAAACCTAAGAGGGTTGCCAACTACCAGCAACATTTAGTGGTGCCTCTTTTGGAAGCATTGACAGGGCATCTACAAGAAGGTGGCAAAAAATTGCTTCTTCTTCCTACTTCACACTCCAAGGACTCAAGGACAAAATCAACAACCCGGACAACTCCTCCAGTCATATAGGCATCCGACTTTCTATGCTTTTCTGAAAACATGTTCCTTTATTTACCCTCATCGCCAGCCTTCAATTAGTAGGGATACATGCTGGAAACCCGAATTTTTGCCTCCAATGTTGCCAGATAAAGAAAGGTTTCTCATGGCATCAAATAGTATATGGCCATTTTAAAGACTCGTGGAATTTTAAATCAAGCATTGGACACTTTTATATTAATTTTGAGTATAAAGCACACATGAATTTCGGATGCAAATTCTTGAAGGAAAAAGTGTGTCTTATGGTCCGTAAAATATGACTGTCCATAATAAAGATTGATTAACATTTCTGGTTCAAAGTTATGTTATTTTTCATTTAGTTAATTTCATTGTATAATGAATAGCTTAAAATACAACATCATATTCAAATATTTTGTTTACAAATATATTTTCACTATTAATATTTAGGAACGATTAGCTGCTCATAGAAGACATCAGTGTACCATATTTTATTGCTTAAACAAAAAATCGTTTTATTTTAATTTTGTTCTTTTGTGTTTTAAAATTCTTCTTGCATTTATTTTAGATTCTTGAAGCTATTAAAGTGAAGGAATATATTTCTGTATCTACAAATGTGTAAGTTTTCTTTTCATAAACTAAATCAATAGTGTATTATAAACAAGAATAAATTAATAATACTGCATGGGATCCATTCCTTTACTGTATACTTACATTCACACAATTTCCTCTTTCTTTTTCAGATCAAGTATAAGAAGTTACATTGTAAAATTTAAATTCTTAAAGTATTCAGAATATAAGGGATACATAAATACATCACCATCAAAAATTCTACACTACATGGAACATGTATTTATAAAGAAAATCTTAGAAGTTCTTAAGAAGAAAATGAAACAGTCTTCATCTTTAGAGTAAGTGTATTTTTATGTTTCTGATAGTTTGGTAACTATGAAGAAAGCCACTTTTTTAAATCTTGATTTGCAGGTATAAATTAGAGTTTAGCATCTCTGCTAAAATAACAATTTATTCCTTGTAAAATGTGTTGAAAGATTTTTTTTTAAATATATTAAAATTGCTGGTGTTTTTAATCCTTGTAAGATATGCTCTAAAAGAACGGAAATTTTTTAATAGATGTTCTGAAACCTAAAACAGTTTTTATGCAACTAACTTTAACATACTAAAATGCTAAGTACTTAGTTGAATGAAATTTAAGATGAAAATCCAGGCTTCATTGTCAAAGAACAATTCTAGTTTCTCAGATCATACGAATGCTTAGGGATTTTGATTCAGCGTGAGAATTTTTATGATTAGTGTCTGGATTATAATTTCTAGAGAAGACTTTAATCTTTCTGTTGTGGGTAAAACTGGAATTGCTGTGCTCTGAGGAAAAGTTGGAAAATTTAGATTGAAAATGCCTAATTTCTTTAATTGCTACAGGGATTTCCCCCCACACCCCGTATCATTGGCTCCCCAAAATTAAGTGTTGCAAAATGCCTATATAGGGCACTCTACCTTCCCTATGCCTCTGAGTTACAATTAGAATTTTCATTGTAACCAAATGTATTAAAGGCCTGTAAGGGAGTTGGCAGCCCTAATAATTTACCACCAAGAGAGCATTTATGCTCTATTCCAGTAACCTCAACTTGTGAATAAATTAATTGTTGTTGTGCTTTTAGAATGGGACCTTTATCATCTATTGTTTTAAATCTGAACCACTGAACAAATTGTTTTTATTGACTTCGAGGATAGTTACTTTGTTGGATTTGTTTTTACTGAGTGCTTGCTTTCCTTTTCTTTTTTTTTGTAAAAAATATATATGTTCCTGAAATTGTTTCTTTTTGAAATTCGGCATATGCAAAAATGTACTAAAAATAATTTTTTAGGTTTATTTGTATTATTTACAATGCATTAGATTTGCTAAGAACTTTTATCTAAATTAGAAGAATCTAATATCAGCTTGAAGAATACTTACAATACTAGAAGTATTCTTCAACTAAGAATAGTAATCCTTCTAAATACTAGAAGATTTTACATTGTAAGTAAATTATATATTCTGAGAGTCTTCATTAAATTTTTATTTTCATTTTCTCTTAATGTTCTATAGTTTTGTTGGTTTTATGAAAGATAATATAAAAAAAGTAGAGCCAAATGAGGATGAGTCAGAAGACGTTCCTCAAGCTGATGACCCAACACAATTAAATGAAGTAGAAAGCTCTGAAGAAAGTGAAGATGAAGGAGACACCATTTCAGCTAAATCTAAGTTGCATCATAAGCAAGAACAAGAGTATGAAGATCCAGAAGATGAAGAAATGCTTCCTGAATCTAGTAAATATAAACATCAGTGCATTTTTTATAATTGCTAAATGTAATTTTTTTTTAATGTGTGTGTGTAGAATGCTTAAACCCTTTTTTTTAAAAAAAAGTATTGATAGAATGCTTAACATATTTTGTTATACAGATTCAGAAACTTCTGATATAGAAACAGAAATCAGTATAAAGAAAGAGGTTAGGAGCTCTGATGAAGGAGAAAATGCTGCAGCAAATCCTCATGAGTTTAAAAAAACTCCCAAAATGACTGTCAGTGAAAATGATAAAGCTTTACGTGTTAATGTAAGCAGCTTTGTATTTATTTATTTGTCTGTGTGTGTATTTTAAATGCCTTTATATTAATTTGTAATATATCCGTATGAAATTTATATTTTGTTCGGCTTTCTTTTGGCGAAGCAGAGTAATTAAGTAGAAGTAACAATTCTGATAGTTTATTTAACTGTCAAAATTTTCATCACTTTTTTAAATGCATATGAAACAATTATAAAAATTTATTTTATTGAATTTTTCTTATTTATAATCATTGTATTTTTTTATGGGGAAGTTAATTTTGCTTGCCAGTTAGAAATTTAATCAAATAAGTAATACAGTGGAAAACCTTGGTTTATTACAAGGTGTGGCTATTAATTTTCAGGACTGCTCTAATTATCAGGCTGTATAAGTTGTGGAAACAATTTTTAAAGTCCTCTTTTGGAAGGCTCTTCAATGTCGACGTCATTCTTGAAGTCTTCAACATTCACAGAGCGTGTTCCTTTGATCACAGTTTTGAGTTTGGGAAACAAAAAGAAGTCTGCAGGGACCAAGTAAAGAGAGTATGATCGAACATTCCCAAACTCAAAACTGTGATCAAAGGAACATGCTCTGTGGATGCTGAAGACCAAGAAGAACGTAACGTCGACATTGAAGAGCCTTCCGAAAGAGGACTTTAAAAGTTGTTTCCACAACTTATACAGCCGAGCACAGAAGTGTGTTATGGAAGATGGGGATTACTTCAAAACATATTAAAAGGTTATGTTTTTCACATCATCTGTTCTGGTGTTATTAGAGCAGTCCTGGAAATTAATAGCAACACCTTGTAGTTTTTGAGTTTTATTTATTTTATTCTTATTCATAATTTATTTTTTAAATACTTGAAGTATTTTGTGGAAAGTATCCACACATAAAAAAAATCAATGTACATATTTAGCTTTTAACCTAAAGAAAACCTTTAATTGGTTATTTTTATAGCATCTTAACTAGTTTTTTTCATCACTGTCATTAGTATATGATGCCACATGTAAATTTTCTCTGCCTGTTTTAAGCAAATTTTTAAGTCTCGACTTGTGACACTAAGTATAGGGGGTCATAAGAAATTCCGTGATATATGAACCCTTAGTGGCCTATTCACTCAACCAATTAAAATGAAATTTCAGATTTTGTTATTTTAAAGTATGCACTCAAGATTCTGATGATTTGAAATAATAGAGCTCTCATGGTTATGGTTGCAGTGAAATCATTTCAAAATTTTCGAATGACAACTATTTTTTTTTTTCCTGCATAAATTGATCAGTGCGTTTTAAAACCATAAATGGCATTGAAACAGTATGCATGTGATGAAAATAGCCAGAAAAAAACATTTGCCAAGAAGTGCATTGTAAAGGATTATTGGCAACACAGAGGAGTTGCATGATGCACTTTGCATAATTCACAGGGATAGACAATAAAAACACCAATCACAGAACAACTTTTGCAAAGCATTATGAAAAACCTTTAATAAGCAGTGTCGGAAGATTGTTTCTTCAATCAGATGTTTGAACATGCTAACAAGATGACGTTTACAGAAAAACGATGCGAATTGATAAAGCTGTTTTATGGGAATGGTGAAAATAGTGCCAAAGCAGTGTGAGTTTATTGGAAAAATCATAAGCTAAGACAATGCTGTTTTCTATAAAAAGTGTATGTGGTATGGTAAAAAAATTTGAAGAAACTAAATGCACAAGTAATAGACTAGGATCCAGAAGACTGTGTTCCTGTTGAAGTTGTCTGCTGGTCCATTGCATACTGCAAGAAGTGTCGCCCACAATTTGTAGTATGTATTGAAAACCACAGTCCTTAAGCTTTAGCATGCTGTTATGCTAGTGTTTACTTATCAATTCCAGTGCATCCAAATGTTGCAACCTGGAGGTGAGCAACAACATGTCAAATTTGTGAATTTTTTCCTATCAGGTATGATGAAGATAGCAAGTGACCATTGTGAATATTATGGAGAGATGAGGTGCATTTCTCTGTAACTGGGAACATAAACTCCAAGAACTGCATTCACTGGGCTACAGATGTCCTTGCAATGGGCTACCAGTGCTTTTACACAAGGTTAAAATGACTGTGTAGTGCGGCATTGCAAGTACATTCATTCGTGGTCTCTATTTCTTCAAAGATATCACTTCTGCAGATATGAAAATGTGCTCCATGCACAATAATATTGCAGAATTTAAGTAATTCCGGAATTGTAGCAAAAAAAAAAAAAAAAAAAAAAAAAAAAAAAAAAAAAAAAAAAAAAAAAAAAAAAAAAAATGTCATTAATGACATTGTATGGATGCAAGATGGTGCTCCTCCACACATCGCTACATGTTTGGCAGTTGTAGCAAAAGCACTTTGGAGGTAGTCATCTCCCATAACCTTTATGTTTCATGGCCACACCTATTCTGCGAACTCACTCTGATGGATTTCTAGTTCTGGGGTTATCTGAAATCTAAGGTGTGTGTATGAAATGCATGAAATTTGACAGAACTGGAAGATGCCATAAAATGTGAAGTTATAAAGATTCCTAATGCGATGTTACGTTTGTCATTGTGGACAACTGTCTCCCCCGTGCAGTGCATTTGTGAAGGTGGGCTTGTTGAAAACTTGTAATTCCAATAAAGGTTTTCTCTCTCCTCTCTTTTGTTTTCATTGGTTCTTTGCAATGCTTTTCTCAGCAAATGATTTATGCCAACAGTTTTTGTTACATGTGTATCGTTCCAACACTATTTATGGCTTTTCAGTACACTGATCAGTTTGCGCAGGGAAAAAGTAGGTGTTGCCATTCGAAAATTTCAAAATTTTTCTCTACAACCCGCATTATTAGAGCTATGTTTTTTTAGATCATCACAATCTCGAGTTCATACCTTTAAATAACACATCTGAAATTTCATTTCAATTGGTTCACTGCAGCAGCAACAAATGCTCTACTTTTCTGTTGTATATGGGTTTTAATTGGATTTTATTCTTAGAATGTTTTATTAGATGTGGTGATGTAAAATTTAAATCAGTCGGTGATTCAGACACGGTTATATATACCAGTAAATCAACATATGATAGTATAAGCAATTTATTTTGTTTTATCAGTGTTAAGAGCATTTTTTAATTATAATAATTCATTTAAATGTCTTTAAAAATAAATATGTGTCCCAAATCTTGCTTATTTTAATACAGATATTTATATATCTTTATTGCTAAGTGATAAATTTTCTCAACATGGTGGTGAAAACAAGGTTATGATAATGTTTGAAACAGTTAACCAGCCATTATTTTTTGGGACACTAAATAAAACTTAACAAATTCTTAACTGAATGTTTTAAAGGAATGACTTCCTTTAATAGATTTTAAAGCATGGCAAAATCTCTCATTTTAGCAAAATTTATTTTTTTACCAATTTCATTAACTTTTTATATTTCTGTCAAATTTTAAAATATTTTTTTATATTGCACATATGCAGTAATGTTCACAAAAGAAATATCATATTCCTTTATAATACTAGATTGCATTTAACAGACTGCAGTTTTTAAATTCCAATTTCACTTTTCAGTGGTAATAATTGAAGTTTATTGGAGCGCTATTTGTATCTAGAAATCACAATCAAAAACAATGAATTCATGTGCCAATATCAAAGAAAAAAGTTATTCACTCACTTTATCTTAAAAACTGGCTTCAGTTAAAAAATAAATAAATAAATAAAATAAAAAAATAAAAAAAAAAAAAACCTCATTTCTTCTGAAGTTATGTAAAGTACCTTTGAGTTAAAAAAAATGCTTTGTTTTCCTCACTTTCCTCTTCCTTATTTTCCATTAGCATTTCTTTGCCAACGTTTACCTGATAGTGTGTAAGTTCATCACAGTGATTCTGCTCAAGGGGAAAAAACTGAATAGCCATACAGTAAAAGCCTGGCTATGTGGTATTAACTAAGAGCAAAGCTCAAGTAAACAGCATATTTTAGAATTTTAGGAAAAAATTTCTTTCGGAAAATTTAGTAAGAAATTTGTTACCCCATTATAGAGCTTGCAATAATATTAACACACATATATTGTTGCCAAATAATGTGATTTAGTGCCAGTAATGGATAAACGTGATGTTGTTCATTTTAAAATAGCGATATAAATTATCAGAAATATTTTGTATAGAATAATTCAAAATTATTTTATACTATAATAATATATTTTGCTTCTTGAAGAAAAAGGATCTTTTGTCGTCCTCAAAATATATATCTTTTATGCTAAACAAATATTAATCTATTGTTGAATTTTACATGTTTTTAAATTTGATAGTAATTTTCAATAACATTAATGCTTAGTTTATTAAATTTTGACATTTATTATAATTATTTTTCAGTATGTAAAATGCATTCATCATTGGATCGCAGATTATAATTTTGATTCCCGCTATGAAAGATGGTGTGAGGTGACCTTTCAGGTATACTGTTTTCTTAGATCTAAGCATGAAATTTCACCATATTAGCAATTTAATTTAAGCTGTTCAGTCCCCCCCCTTTTTTTTTTCATTTTTAAACTATATTTTAGTCTTGTAAGACTTAAGTTGTGTATTTTTTTCTACAGGTATAAAAGAATTTAGTATCAAGTTTAATTAAAGTGAAAATATTAGTATAGCATCCAGATTTTTAAAGCTGTATATTCTTGCTAGAAAAGAAATTTTAGAATTCAAATGAATTTAATCATATGAAAGTTTGTGTCTATCAGATAATGATATATTATCTTATGCTTAAGGCTGCATTATTTTTTATGAAATTTTAATAATATTTAAATTTTTTCAGGTTAGCTTAGATGGTTGTAAAATAGACATGCAAAGTCTTCTTGAAGAAGAAGTAAATAAAGCTTATGTGCATTTAGTTCCCGAAATCAAAGATGCAATATTAGTCAAAAATCCTAATGCCAAAGATGGGTCTAAATTAATGCTGAAGACTAATGGTGTTAACTTCTTGGTATGTTTCTGTGAATATATCTGGTTGTAACGAAAGTTTACCGCCAAAAAAGAATCTTAATATAGTTAGAAACATGAAAGCAGTACCTTTAGTGCAGATGGTAACCACCATCCAAATCTAAGGTTTTCTGCCAAGGTTTTGGTAGTTTTTCAAAGCATTCAGCCCGGAAATTTGGTGGCCACAAGTCCAAAAACAGATCAACCTTATTTCAAATGTCCTGTGCAAAATGGAAGATAGCATGAGCAAGATGTAACTGCAGGTGTGAAAAAGGTAGAAGTCCAAAGGAGTGTTGTCAGTGCTATATGGTGGGTGTGGCAGAAGATACCATTCGAGTCCATACGGAGCCCAGCCGGTGAATGTAGACACATGTGGTCTTTCATTATCTTGATGGAACATTACCTTTTCATGCAGGAACTCAATTTGACATTTTTGTTTAATAGCATTGTCAATATGGGCTACCATCTCACGGTACACCTCACTGTCAAGGGTTTTACCTTTGTCCAGATACTTTGTGGATACTACCAGAGAAGTCCCACCAGATACAAAGCATGATCTTTTTGTTAGTCAAATTGGGCTTTGCGATGCTGCCAACGGCCTCACCAGGCACAGACCAACTCTCTTTTCAGCCTGTGTTGTTGAAGTAAATCCACTTTTCATCACTAATGATGATCTAGTTCAGAATTTTGTCCTTGTGTTGATATTTGAATAGATTAATGCAGGCCCGAGCAATATCTGCCCTTATCTGCCTGAGTCAGTTCATGCGGCACCCAACGATTGAACTTGCACATCAAGTTTATGCAATGCATAGCACAACTAATGGACACGGCACTACGGCACTAACGTCTAACTCCTTAGCAAGCTCTCGAGTAGTTGCATATTGATCTTCTTCCACAAGTTCTCGCATACGAACCTCATCAACATCAGTAGGCCGGCCAGAGTGTTCTGCTTCTTGAATGTCATAGTCCTTATTTTTGAACTTTTGGTAGAAAAGCTTCACAGTGTCATATGATATAACATTAGTACCTAAACACATGATTTGATGACATTCTGTAGCTAACTTCCTGCAACAGAACTGAATGTAAATGATAATTTTAATCTGGTAGCGTAATAGTTCCATTTCAGATACCTTGCACTTAAAATTAACAATATTTTTTTTTTACAAATTTCACAACACAGCAAAAAGTCTAAAGCAAATCTTTTTCTTTCAAATGCCAAAAATCGTTTGGCAAAATATGATTAAACACGCCAACGTGAGCTGTTTGTGTGGACGATATTCGCAGTGGCAAGAAACTTTCGTTAAGACCTGATACTTTTTATAAATATTAATGAAATTTGTTCCTATGTACAGGGTTGCCACGCTACCGGGAAAACTGGAAAAAGTCAGGGAATTCAAAAATTGACAAAATATTCAGGGAAAAGTCAGGGAATTTAAATATTTTAGTTAAAATCTGGTAATGTCGGGGAATTTCATATGGGTATCCCTCCAAAAACGAGTTTTGCGCCAATGTTGGAAGCGATCACTTTCTTGTTATGTATCGCGTGAGCATCATTTGGGCAGCTGGCATAGAGCCAATTTTCGCAGCTCCAATTAGATTGTCTTTTAGAAAGGCAAAGCAAGTTTGGTTTTCAGTAACATTGAGAATCGAGACTCGCATGTGCATGTGCAGTGCATGTTTAAGTAAAAATACATATTTTCATATAGAACAAAATCAGTTTAATTCTAGCATACGATACTATGGAGGTTTATATATTCTATTATAACCTCCATCTGTGATACACACGGGATTTGGCAACATTATGATGAGCAGTAAACATTTTGGTGTTGGTGACAATTTTTAAGATCGTTCCAAGGGCATCAAAGCATATACTACTAGGATTTTACCGCAAAATCTTTTAAACCTTTTTTTTTTTTTTTTTTTTTTTTTTTTTTTGTTTTCTTTTTAATAAATGCTTTATTTGTCATTTTGCAGAAAAATAAAAAATTGTAATTAGTCATCCAGGCTAACCATTTAATAACTAACTATATTTATTCGCCAAAATACCGTTGATTATTCTAATTAAATTTTTAAGTTTTTTTTTATGTTACCCGTATCATAATGTTGCTTCTTCCAAGTTGATTTAATATTAGTAAATAATACTTTCAAATTTCAGGAAATTTTCTCTGGCAATCCTGAAACTAATTCTAACAGTATGATGACATACTATGACGAAATTTAATGCACATATTTTTTTGCTTATGCTGCTGAATAAATATAAAATACCTGAATTTATTTGAAAATATCATTAAATAGATTTCTTTCTTCTTTTAGTTGCAAAATGTCAGCCCCCCCAAAAAAAGACATTTTATTTTTTAATCCAGTTTGGCCATCTTCTGTGGAAAAAATAATTTCTGTTATAGTTATAATATGGGGATTTTATATATATATATATATGTAAGATAAAAATGTATCAATCAGAATTATAATATAACTATAAACATTAATTCTTCCTCTCTATTCTAAAATCGTAATAACTTATCTGCATTGCGTCATTCAGATTAATCATGCGATCTTACGTAACCGTTAATACCAGATGCCTCTTGACAACCAATCACCGAATTGTAAACCAAAACTTTTCTCTTCGCATGCTTCCATCTTGTATAACTACGCACTTCAGCTTTTGCTCTGTGCTCTGCTAAGATTTAATTTCACTGGCTTGCTTTCTATCTCAACAATATCAAAAATGTAAATCTTCTGTGGAAAGGCAAGACTAGAGTGCCAAGTGATTGTGGCCACAAATATCAGCTGGAAATAAAAATGGAATTAAAACTGCTTCGACTGCCAAGTTCTTTAAATACTACGCAATCAAAATTCTTCTTCAATATGGGTCTAATCACGCATCTACTTGTTCCGTCATTTCCTTTTTTGCTTTTATTATGACAATTAAGCCAGTAGCATAGTTTCCTGCAGCCTGAAACCTCAATGGAAAATTTAGTTCAGCTCTTCAAATCATCATTTTTTGTAAATCCAAGATAATGTGAAAGAAGTGAATCATCAAGTTTGTTTTTTCAGTGTTTAGAAAATAACAGATCATTCTTCTGCTGTGGTGTTTTGCAAGTGCTTCAAAAAGAAAAAAGTAATCAGGCATAGTGTTTACAGATTGAAAGTAATATCTCGATAAATTGAGAAGTTCGAATGCCTAGTGAAAATAAAATCATCAGTGAATTACCGTTTAGGAATTAAGCATTGCAGCGGGTTCAAGGTCGATCTGAGTTAGTGTTTGCAAGTATGTGCAACAGAAAATTATTTGCACTTCCGCTTTTTCAACAGCTCAAAAATTTGTTACATTCGTGTGACTCTAACTCAGGAACTAAATCATTTAGTATGTTGCGAATTCTATAGTTTTCATTTCAATTTTGGTTAAAATTTCTGCAATTTGTTTTGAGAAAATCTGAAATTCTTGTTCATTAATGTTTCTAATTTTTCATAATTATGTGTGAGCAAATTAAGTAACGAATTTTAAGCTATTTAAATTACTCATAGGGAAAGATATTAAGATAAGTTTTTATGTTTTTGAAATTTTGTTGAGACTTTTGAATACAAATTTTATAATTATTCTAAAAATGAAGTAGGTGTAAAAAATAAGTGAAATTATTACAGATACGTAATATGAAATTATGGTAAATGCATGTTAAATTTATGGGTGTTAAGTATTGTATGATGAGGGTGTACTGGTTCCTTCAACAGAGGCCTGTAATTACCTCTGTACAGTTGTTCCTTTTACCCTCTTCATGCAAGATAATGTTGGTGGCTCTCATTTTATGAATGCATGTAAATTTTTTATATTATTATTATTATTATTATATTTTTTATTATGGAATGTATTAGTGCAGTTCTCAAAGGCCAGTTACCTTAATGCAAGGAACGGAGGCCTTTTCAAGTAACTGCCTAGGCACCCTGGTCCACCAGTGCAGAGAACACACTGGTTAGCTCAAGAGGACAGCCCTATTGATGGATATGTTTGTTTAGAAGTATTGCGAGGCTTCCAGTCTGGTAAAATCAGGAATTGTAAATGAAAGATGATAACGGTGAAACCATAAATTCCGAAAATCTTAATCCTATTATTTATGATGTTAAATTATAATTTATCAGTATAGAAATAAGTATTATAAGTATTTATGTGGATTACATTTAATTATAAGAACAAGAACCTTCCCTGAAGAATTATGATTATGTGAATTCTCAAACAAAAAGACTTTTGGACTGAAATGCTGAAAAATTCAATAGGACTCTAAAAATTAAAAATTTATTAAAAAAATTGATATTTATAAGTTATACTTTTATAGAATCAAAATTTTATGATTTATGTTTTTCTTTTTTATTTGCTAGTGCTTTAACATTCTCTTTAAAAAGGCTTCTCTGTCGCTACGCCTTTTTCTTTTTGAAGGGGGGAATATGTAAGATAAAAATGTATGAATCAGAATTATAATATAACTATAAACATTAATTCTTCCTCTCTATTCTAAAATCGTAATAACTTATCTGCATTGCGTCATTCAGATTAATCATGCGATCTTACGTAACTGTTAATACCAGATGCCTCTTGACAACCAATCACCGAATTGTAAACCAAAACTTTTCTCTTCGCGTGCTTCCATCTTGTATAACTACGCACTTCAGCTTTTGCTCTGTGCTCTGCTAAGATTTAATTTCACTGGCTTGCTTTCTATCTCAACAATATCAAAAATGTAAATCTTCTGTGGAAAGGCACGACTAGAGTGCCAAGTGATTGTGGCCACAAATATCAGCTGGAAATAAAAATGGAATTAAAACTGCCTCGACTGCCAAGTTCTTTAAATACTATGCAATCAAAATTCTTCTTCAATATGGGTCTAATCACGCATCTACAGTGTTCCGTCATTTCCTTTTGCTTTTATTATGACATATATATGGTATCCGTAAGTGCAACACAGCCACCAGAGGGCCTTACCTATGCACCATCAGCGAGAATCAGGTGAAAGAGGAGTTTGACATAAACAGTTAGTCGTTTAGCCCATGTGAAGGTGGTAAAATGTCTCCACGAGAAGGTGGTAAGACGTAGGTCTCCACGTGAAGGTGGTAAATATAGAACTGTATGTTTCCACGAGGAGGTGGTAACTTGACTGCATATACAATAGCTAGTGCGAATAGGCGCTAAGCTGCTATTAAATTCTAAAAGTGATAAAGAACGGTGTTTTTATCTAACAAGTGCGAGAAGACGCAACAGCACTTGTATTTAATTTAATCTGTACCTTGTCTGTTATTTTCATTAAATGTCGTGTGTGGTGTGGAAAACGTTGGAATTGTTTATTGACCTTAGCAAAGCATCTTCAACTCCCCTACTACATATATATAAAATAATATGTAATTGGTGAATTTTTTTGTTTTTAAGTATTAACATAATTTACCTCTTAGAACAGCTAATGTGCATTACACGGATAGACTGGAGTTTTCTTAAAACACACCTGGAAAAGTCAGGGAATTTCATTCTCCTGTTTGAGTGGCAACCCTGTATATATTTAAATAATAATCTCCTTATTTTTATGGTGAATGTGGCTGTAAAAAATTTTTATTGCAAAAAATTAATAAATATGTTTTCAAAACAGGAAATTTTCAAGTATGTTGATATTATAGACATCAATAAAATTTATAGCAACAACATCCAGGCTATAGCTGAGACATATGGTATTGAAGCAGCAGCAAGAGCCATACAGAAGGTAAGATATTTTTATTTAAATAAAAAATTATTTAAAATAATGATATTAAAAATTTTTATTCAAATATGTTTTTGAGCTTTTGGTATAAAAATTATTAACATAAGGATAATATAGACAAGTTAGTAAATAATTGTAAAAGAATTAATAAAGTGCATTAAATTGATAAACATGGTAATGTGGCTTAATTGCAGTCAGGGTTTCAAAACATGCACTTTATTAAAATTAAAGAATTTGTTTCTATTACAAGATAACTTTTATTATTGTTATTAACAATAATAATGGATCTGTATTATTATATAATTCAAATGAGCAAAGTATATTTTTTAGATAATCTCATAATTTAAAGTTATTGAAGCAGAGCTAGTAAGTAAATGGTGTTTCTCAAGTAATTACTGTATTAAATATTTGAGGAAGTGTTAACATCATAAATGTTTTTTCCCTCTACAGTAGCTATTTTTTAAATTTTAAGTTTATAAAAATTGGCTGTTTTGTTTCATTAAATAATGTAAGTAAGACTAGTAAATGTATCATTTGTATTTTTACAGGGAAATGCAAGACTAGTTTAATTGTATTTAACAGCTGGAACTTTTCGTTGCAAATCTAAATCCTGTGTAATATTTTCAAAAAAATACCTTATATAGATCAATATCTTATTTTTAATAAGATATCAATCTATATATGGTATTATAAGTGGAAGTCATTGTGATTATGCTTAAATCAATAATAAAAAATTTTCATTTAAAAGCATTTTTGAATACATGTCAAATTAATTGATTAACCAAGTTCTATTTTTACCATCCAGTGTTATGAGTGATAATGATTTGTTTCAATAAATAAAAAAATATATATTAGGAGTCCAGATTTAACGCAGTTAGGTCATTCAATACTTCATAATTGTAATTTTTCATTTCTCCTCTCCCCCCCTTCTCGAAACTCCAAAATGTCGGTAGTAAGCCCGTAAAAGTTTCAGGGGATTTTTTGGGGTTCCACAAACACCCCTGGTTAAGTGAATTTCTTTCATTTCATGCAAGATCCAAATATCAAGCTTCTTAATAAGCTCAAGACATCTTTTGTAATTTTTTGATTGTTGTATGTGATACATTTAACCTTTTTGCAATCTCTCACGAAGTTATGCAACGATTAGATTCAATTATGACTTTAATTTTGTCATCATCAACTTCAGAAGGATGGCCAGAACATTGGTCATCTTCCAATGAAACATCTCCAGAATGAAATTTTTTAAACCAATTCTATCTCACGCTTTCTGTTAAGCAATCAACGCCATAAACTTCACATATCTCTTGGTGAACCTCAGCCACTTTCTTGGCTTTAGGAGAATAAAAAAGTAAAATGTGTTGAAAAAGTTTATTTTTGCACCCCATGTTAAAACTGATGGTTGTAAACAAAGTTACGTGGAATTAGTTTCTACAGCAAGCTAAAAGTGTCAGCTGCAAAATCTCAAAAGAAAAAAAATTATAAGATTAACAGAAAAATAACAAAATGAAAAAAGTGCTATATATTTGTGCAAATCGAATTTTTTTCCCCAACCCAATAGATTGCAAAGGGTTTTATCACATTTTTAACTTATCACATTTTTATCACATTTTTAACAGATGTAGGATTATATAATCAGAGATGTGCTATTTGAGCTCAGTGATTTATTAGTGTCACTTGGTTGATGTGCATTGGCAGCGGTCGGTTTGGTGATTGGTAGTTCCATGCCATCCTCGGACTAAACGCGTATTTACATATTGGCGCACAACATACACCACTGCCAATATGGCTTTACCTACACATAAAAATGTGCTCCAGTACCGGCAATGAACGCCTTTAAAAATAACACAATCCATACATGAAATACTATAAAAACTAAATTTTATTTTGACAATTCTTTAATTCTGGGATGCAAAGCCAGAATCCAGAACTGTCTTGGAAAGTCAGGATGAATGGTTACCCTAATCATGAGTTTATTAAAATAGAACATTGCTGCTTTTTTACTTGTTTTTATTTATATAAAAGGCATTGTTTAACATAACATTTCATTTTAAGGAAATTGAGAATGTGTTTGCTGCATATGGTATAAAGGTTGACCCTCGCCACTTATCTCTGATATCAGACTATATGACATCTAGTGGAGCTTATCGCCCATGTAATAGAATAGGCATGGAAGCAAATGCTTCACCTTTACAACAGATGACATTTGAGACAACAAGAAATTTCCTGGTTGATGCCATGCTTTTAGGTGAGATAAATTTGTGTTTTTTATTTTGTTTATTTTTGTTTTTAGTATATATAAAGTGTTGCAAGAAGCATGCAGATTTAATATGTTATAAGCTGTTATACCTGTTGTTTGGTATACCGACAAAATTTACATTTTGATGTGCGCCACTATGTAAATTTTGTTTCTCAAGCTTAAGGATGAAACAATTTTGATTATCACTAAATATATTTTTCTTCTTAATTCTGTCATATTATTAACCAGTCCCTTTATCTGATATAACCAGAAACTGAATTATATAAACTAATAGTAGTTTAACTGTGAAAAGGAAGTTATATAATTTATATAAAATAAGACTGTAACATTATTAATGCACTTTCAAGAATTTATGCCTCTCTTGGAAAGAGGTGCATTTCACTTAACATAACATTTCTGCCAATAAAATCCATTGGTACAATCATGCCTTGAAAACTGAGGTATAAGAATTCAGAAGTCCTTGTACATAGCTAATTCTGACAGCACTGCCATTTAACAAAGCATGAGATTTTTAATTGGTTTTTCAAATTCAATCATTCTGTTGTTTAATAACAAATTAGATGACTTAAAAACAGTGTAAAATCTTCAATAAAAAAGGGCAAAGACTTTTTATTTTTTTCCATTTCAGCTGTTGTCATAAATTTTTACAATGACTTAATATAAGCAATAGCTTGAAGTTCTGCAACAAACAACAACTTGATATGTAAAAATTTTAGGTGAAAAGGTATTAGTTAGCAAAAGGAGGTTAATTTTATGTTATAATCATGAGCAATGAATGATATAGGGATTCATGTTGTCATCTGAACTGCATTATGTCTAGAGACCAGGTTGAATAGTGTCTGGAGTAGTTTATATCTAAACATGAATTATGTTAGGGATGTGTATAACTTGCCAAGGTTTAAATTTAGACCTTATTAATAACATGTTAATTACTAAAATATGATCATCTTAATTCCTGCACTCTTTCAAAGCCCTCCTGCTGACGAGTGGTAAAATTGTAAATACTGGAAATTCGATATGAATTCCAGGTGAACAGGCTGGTTGCATGGCTGTTTTAATTGTTTTCTCCATGTCTAACATGGATAGAATCAGTTTCCTTTAAGAAGTCATCCGTCTTCTTTTAAGCTCCCAGGCCTTCTTGTGTGTTTTGCTGTGATTAAATAAACCAAAACAAACCTGTCCTTTTCAGTATAATTTGTTAAATTGTTCAAATATAGAAATTTAGTGTAGTTATTCTTTGAATGCACAATTTTTAATCTATATGTTTAATTTTTTTTTTTTTTTTTTTTTTTTTTTTTTTTTGTTAAAATGCAACTGAAAAAGCCTTCATCCCTCAAACAAAATCTGTTTCGGTTCTGGCAGTTTTTTTTTTTTTTTTTAAGTAATTACTTCAGTTTTTATAATTTTATAAAGTATTCTTAATTTCAAGTCTCTCATTTTTATGACTTTTATCTTTATTGTGTGACAAGTTTTCTAGTTATGTGAGGCTTTTGTTTACTAGAATTTAATACTCTGATTAATTTGAATGTTGTTTGTTTTATTAATGCATATAATATTTCATGTTCCACTGTTCAGTTACAATTTTCCCCCCTCCCCCCTACTTTTTTTCGGCAATGTGACATTATGATATTTTTTATATTTATAATATGTGTTTTTTAAAGGAAATGCTTTAATTTTGCTGAATGTACAGCTGTATTGTTTGAAACATGGATTAGAATTTAAAAGTGGGGGTAAATTATTTATTGAATTTTAAGGAGCAAGGATTTTAAGTATTTTTAATTGAATTTTAAGGAGTCAGGAAGTTTAAGAATTACTTCATGTTTCTTTATAGCTATTTATGAAGTATGAGCTTTTTAACAAATTCTTTAAATATTTTCACCCAACTCGTGTTGCTCTGGACATTAATGCTGAGGCATCTGCCAAAATTTAATATTTTATTTTTAAAAGGATAAAGAATTTGATTTAATGCATTTAAAGCTATTAATTATTTATTTAAAAGAATTACATAATAAGAAAAAATTATGTATGCATTTGGCAATGAAAATCATTTCATATAGTATGTTATGACATCTTTCAGTATACATTTGGTGTTTGAAGAATTATAATTTTAAATTAATCAAACTTTTCATCTTGAAACAATACCAGTTTTTGAGAAATTATTTTTTTAATACTAAATTTATATACTCAACAAGTGTTTATTTTTCAATATTCTCTCTAAATTTCTTGCTGGGAAAGCTTGTAATCGTGTGGGAGTATATTTGATTTCTGCAAGTGAATAAAATCAGCCGAGATATTTCTGAAGTTAGTTTATCTGCTATTAATCATAACTGATCAAGACATTTTTAGGCTATCTTTAGTCATATTCAAATGCATTTTATCATGAATTATCATCTGTACTAAAATTACTTGAATATTTTGAAATTTTGATGCTTCCAAATCCCCAATCTGTACAGAGATAAAACTCAGATGTTTTTGTTCTGTTTTTCTGCCCATTTTTGTGGTGTCCAGATTAAGTAGCAAAATCCCAAATAGATAAAAGTATTAAAATTCTGTCCCCTCCTCTTGTTTCTTTCAAATAAGTGACTGTGAATTATTAGTGAGCCTATTAAAAGAGAGTTAATTATATTTACTAAGTGCTCATTCTTTTAACAACTACTATAAAATTAAGAAATTAAATTTCTTATTTCTGTGTTGCATTTTTTGTTGCATTTTTGACAAATGTTGAAGTTTGATTTTTCATACTTTTGTTTATAGGTATCGATGATCAACTTAAATCACCATCTGCCAACATTATTGCTGGAAAACAGGTTAGAGCTGGCACATGTGCTTTCGACCTTTGTCCTAAATTTGGACGTTAATCATCAAGATATCCAGTGATGTGTAAATACAAACTGTAATTTATGTCTGTAAATAAATTTTTTACATTTAAACTGATTTTCTACTCAAAAAATTCTTGAAGTCATTTGACAAATATCACTAACATTTAGTTATCATAAGAGATATACGAGTACAAGAAATGTGTAATTAAAAATTGAGAAAACCTCAGTGCTAGCATAAGTTATAAGTTAATAAGAAGTTATGTATCACATAATAACAATAAATTTATGAAGTGAAATTCAGTAGAATGTATTAACATTAAAATATTTCAAAGGACCTTTAGTCCTCAAAAAACAAATTTATATATCTATTTCAAACATGTTCATATGTTTAGGTGCTTCGTACTGCATGAAGTTTCAGAAATGGCAACATCATCAGTAATGTTTCGATATACCTTCAGGGCTGATTTTGAAGTGATCTTGGAAAAGATTTATATGTAAAAAGAAAAAATATTTTAAATGCTACATAGCGTATATAAATTATGACATTATCTGTATTTGATGCAATTATTTTTATTACTTGGTCAAAATCAAAGGGCATGCTCGTGTAATTTACTAAATATTATGTATATAAAATTAATTTTATTATCTAAACAGCTTTGTATATAGTCAGGGAGAATTTTAATTTTAAAATAAGAATATTTTGGAAAATGATAATATTATAAGTTATTATAATTAATGAAATATTAATGTAACTTTGTGAAACTGCATTTTGTTGTCACTGAAATCTTTCTTAGACATCTTTTTGACTAGTTCGTAATACCCAACTTCTTTGTAATATCTGATCTGCAACATTTAGTTTAAAGCAGTAAAATATGGATCAACCTGTGCACCCAAAATTGAGGACTTCCGAGAACAGGCAGTACTATGTAAAATGAAATTGGTTTCATTCTTCAGATTAAAAGATTTGCTTACAGAGAAAGAGGATATGTCTCGTGAATAAATTATGGAAACTAAATGGTTTTAAAAATAATAATAACATTGAGAGTGCAAGCTCAGACTATCATAGCAACCAGAATGTTATTTTGAAGATAGTTTCAAGAGATTTCTTTATGTAGAAATTTTTTCATTTCTTGATTAACACACAGAGTTCCATGGATATCAGTATAAACTGCAACAGCTGATAAGCAAATGGTAGAATGCTGCATAAGTCATGGGTTGGCAATCAGTTGTGTAATAACAAATATTTATACATCCCTCATATATTACATTGGTTTGATCCATAGATCAAGTTAATGAAGAACCCCTGATTCAAGTGACTGTTCTGAATTTACAATGGTTAAGTAGGCTGACTAGCTCAGTAAGTCTTTTTGTGTTTTTCTTCATGGGCAATATAAGTATCACTCAATTATTTTTCTTAACAGTATTTATAAAAAATATACCTCATCGTAGAATTAAGTATTCATTCTTAAAGAATAGTAATTTGTAGCATTGAAATAAGAAAAAAGTTAACCTGAATATAAATTGGCATTGTGTTCAATTCCTTTTACCCTGTGTTGTTTAGGACTTCAGTTTTACAATGTACTCCTCAACAACTTTGACTTATTAGCTACATTATATCTTCATGATTCTTTTAAATACTTCCAGATTGAACCTACTTAAAACTGAAAAACTGAACTCGTACCTTCTCTTGAAACTCTAACATGTAACATAAAAAAAATCAGGTATTTCCGGTTGCTTGTTGTTATGCATTTCCAAAGTTGTCTATCATGTATTAATTATAGAGAAATAAATTTATAGAGATTAGGAAAAGATATGAACACTCAATCAATAACTTGTTTTATTGTCACATGTTTTACATTGATTAAATTTTCTTTGTAAATGCAAAAATCTTGATTATTCTAAGTAGTAGATTATTCTAGTAGGTTTGAAAACTAGGAAAATTATGTTAAATGTAGATTGAATCACACATACAATAATCAGCACATTTCAGTCAGTTATAATTTAATAGAAATAACATGGCAGGTATCACCAACAGATTGAAGCTCAGTTGTAAACAGTGGTAGACATTATTAACCAGGACTTATAAGAGAAGGGCTAGCTGATAGAGCTTTCTTCCAGAAATAGAAAAAGAGAAGTGATGATATAGTCATATTGACACTCACCACAATGACAAAATTCTTAGCATAGAATTTAACATTTTTAATTTGAAAAAGCATTTAATATTAATTGTGTTAGTTATAATTAAGATAAAATAGATAATTATATAATTTGGAAAAGATGATGTTATTGCATTGTGCATTATTAGTAACTCTTATTCATTGATTTTAAAATAACGGGTAAAATGCACTAATCTTTTAACATAAAGTTTTGTTTTCTTAATTTTTTTTTATGTACATTTATTTATAATCTTTTATTCATCAGTATTCTAACTGGAAGAATTCTACTAGTGTTTGTAGGATGAGCTTTCTAAAGTTAGGTAAAATGCAGTCTTTAATCGGCATAGCTTTAAACATATATGGCAGCTTTTCCCCCCTGCTGCTAAAGAACTTATATTTGGTTGTCCTTTAAGCCATAGCTTTATTCAAAATTTTTACTAATCTAAGGTTGTTTTTTTGCCTAGTTATAAATTTTACATTAGCAGGTTTCCCTTCCAATTTGATGTAAACATATTTTTTTTAAATACTTTTCTAACTTATACTCCTATCTATATTACATTTAAATAAATACACTAAGTTAGATCATTGTCTTAATTTTGACAAAACAGCTTTCCTTGCAGTATCTAAGATGAATTATTTAATTTTTCAGAACTAGGGACTAAGGAGGAAGGTCTTTTATGCAAATTACTTTGATGTTTTTACTATTACGAATTATCTAAAATGCTCAGCTTGCACAAAATTAAGCAATAAATTAGCTACAGATAATACAATCAGAATAACTTTACCAAATACTTCACAAAGTTAATTTTCATTTGAAATATGTTTTATGATAACTTCTAAAGTATGTTGAATAAATATATATTTCAAACCCATTTTTTTATATTTAAATGCAAATAATATAAATACTTATTTGCACCAGTTGGACTGCAACTGCAGGCTGTATAAAATTCATTTATTAGCTGTGACTTTCGAAGCAATCCACTTTTTTGTCTCTTAACTTGCTTTCCTTTGAGAAGTGCACATTCTGCAAAATAAATGAATTGCATCTCTGTTTACTTGAGGATAATGTTTCCCTAGTTTCACAGTTAAAGAGCCAATTGTATCCTTCCATTTATCATAAGTTGTACTATGAACTGCACAAAATATTTTTCAAATTTGCAAAGGTAAAGTAAAGCCTCCTTAGGAAAATAATTTAATCCATTCTGAGTGAAATATTTTTTCATCAGCATTATTTTTTTGATAGTGTTCCCAATGATGGGTCTTTTTCACTCGCATGATAGGTAATATACCCTGATGTTGATGCTTCTTTTTCTGTAGTCGAAAATTCTTAGGCAGAATTCAATGCTAATTCCCAAGCCACTGAAAATAGCTCTTCTATGAAAGCCAAATGTAAATCCTAAACAGTATTTAATGGAAAAGCATCTTCCTCTTCTGTTTTCTAGGTGATTTCAGGTAATTGTGATGTTAAATATGAATCAAAATGCTTGCTTTTTGTAGTTATGTACACTTTTGAACATAATTTTGGTAGCTTATTAGCCAGTAATAATTGTTTTAATAAGTGTGCATCTTCACAAGCCCTTGAATCTGACTAAAAATACTTTCAAGTCCACCTTAAGTTAATTTAAAGGTTAAATTTTATTTAACATCATATGATGATTTCAAATCCTTATTTAAGCCAAGAAGAGAATTTATTGAAATTATTATTCCATTTTGGAAAGGCAGTATGTTAGATTTTCTCTGAACTCTTAATCCACTGGTGACTTTCTTTGCTAAATTTAAAACTTTAATTTGTTTCATTTGATATTCACTTAATCCAAATATTGCTTTAAGTATTTTATCTGAGAATATAGCTTGTTGCTGTTTATAATGTTGAAAAAATTATCCGTTAACTCGAAGAAGTCATATGTTTTTTGATATCCTGTAAAGTGGAGTATACGTTTTGCAGTAATTCTTAAAAAAAACTGTCTTAAAATAAAGCTGGAGATATTTTTTGTCTCATGTTTCCCTCGACTAATAGGAATTTGGTTTTAATTTGTGGCATAACTAAATTTCTCCTGAATTTCTATTTAAGTTTAAAACATCTTTAATTATATCAACATTTAAAACAATTTCACTTTGTAGAACAAATACATTATCCAAAAAATGATTTTTCAGTAATTTGAGACAGTAAGCAAAATATGCAAAAACCCATATTTTTTTCATTTACAAAATAGGATTTTAAATTGAAAACTATTAATTGAAATCTCTTTTTCCGCAGAGTGCTACAACCTCCAAGTCAGATATTATGGCTTTCACATCTTCTCTAGCTGAGGAAATATGTTATATGAGTTAAAAAAAAGTTGTTTCTTCATTGAAATGTTAAAAAGAGATGGTGGGGAAATTGGTTGCTTCCACTGTGAAATAACCATTGTGACTAAGATAAATTGCACTTTTTGGAAAAGGATCAAGAAACGATTTGCTCCAATTTAGAATCATAGCCAAGCTTTGAATCCATATGCATTTTGTCCAAACTGAGAACACATATCTTTTCCACAGAATTCGAATGTTTGCAACTTTCCTTTATTAGGGCAAGAACATCACTCTGAATTCCTAAACTACCCAAAAATGTAACATACTAGGTAAAGGAATTCCTATTTTTTCTTACCAAACTCATAGCTTTTAGATGACAGAGCTGTTATGACAATACAACAGGAAATATCTTCATTAGTCCATCTGGATCTTTTCCAGTAATGTGATAACCTGTGTCTTTGTTAAAATTTGATGTTTCAGACATTTTTCCAAATTCTCAGATATGTGCTTTTTGTTAACTTCACTATCTGCAAATTTAATTTTAAATTTCTGATACAAATTTTTTTGTAGATATCCATCTTTTTTGTCCCTAAGGAAACAATCTAATTTTTTTTTTCCTTTTTTTTCCCCCCAATGTAATTTTCTAAAGAGATTATTTTTTCCTTCAAATTACCAATGCATTCTTGTTTATCTTTACAATTATGACATTCAGAGATATATTCAGTATTATTTGTGGGTTTTATTTCAAAATCTTTCACACATGATTTACTATAGTCATCGTCAATTTCGTGGTCAACCTTAAAATGAATTTTCTTTGGACTTAATTCATGTAGTCTCAAAAACACTCTTCAGTCATTTCCTTATCTCTTGTCTCTGACTACTTGGTGTCATTTCTTTTACTATGCAAGGCAAATTTACTTTCAGCACGGCATTGGATTTCAAGTTTCTTTTGCAGCAATTCAAGAAAGCAAATTTTCATGACATTCTTCATAATCACTGCATAAAAAATTTTACTGCAAATCCTTGCATTTTTCATGTTAATAGAATCTTGTTCTCGACATTGATGTATCCATTCTTTTGTCGAAAGCATGAAATATCCTTTCTTATATCTATGAGTGTTATGACACATTGCTACACTCTAAGAAGATGTATTACATAAACGATACTTGGTTAAAAGGAAAGCTATATATACAATTTTTTTATATATTTAAAATGCTAGAAAATAAGTGTATACAATTAAAATTGATTTGGAATATTCACACCGGTAAAATATTGCTTTGCAGCAGAATGGAATTAATAGTTTTAAATGCTCGAAATCGGAGCAGATACAGCACAGTGATGTCAGACTGACTACTTGCTGTTAACTCCCCTTTAAGCACTGCATCGATGAGAAAGGTCACTCAAAGTAATCAACTAGCCCTTTTATTTAACCTTGTTATTAACAAGGAAAGGATAATATTATTTTTATAATACTAATTAGTTAACATAAAGCAGAATTAATAATTATTCAAGTTTCGGTTTTTAATAAAATGCTTTGGCTTTATCGGTGTTTATTCATAATGTAATATGAAGCATTTTCTCTCAAAAAGGCTTTTTCTTAGTTCTGTGGTGGAAGTCAACAGTACTGAAAACATTGAATATGTATTTCCAGTTCGTAAGAGAATTCCATTTTGGGAGTCTGGAACAGACAAAAATTATTGTTGTTTCAAGTGGAGGAGCACTTGCAACTTAATACAGTCATCAGGAATGGCGAATTTTGATTAGACATTTAACTATCAAATCACCCGAGATCATAGCACAGGGAAAGGCTGTCGAAGAAAAACAATTTTACATTATTTTTAATCATATATAAATAAGTGTTTGCTTATTTATATTTGATTATGAAATGCATGCTAATTTAAACATAACAATCGGATAATTATTTTATAATATATAAATAATTATTTCATATATATATATGCATGTTTTATTTTTTATTTGCAAGATAGAAAATAATTCAAAACTTGTTTCAATAAATTACTAAATTTTATATGCAGTGAATTCTATATTGAAGAATGATCACAAAATTAATATTTGAGTTAATTCAATAATTTGTCAACAAAATAGCATATGATTTGTGTGCTATTGAAATACTGTTTATGATTAAGATCACTTGGAAATTTATTTAGCGATATTTTTAATATCAAGAGTAGCATTTTATGGGGAGGGAGAGGTTGGGGTGGATGACTCTAATGTGAGTAGTTAAGTGCTCGAGGATATAATTTTTTCGGTTTTGAATATATCAGAACTTTCAAAAATTGGTAGAAAGCTCATGCTGGAAATTGATATTGAGAATTTGTTTTAATATATATTAGGATTAAAAGAAATTTTAAAAGAAGGGAGTAGTTATTTGCGGAAAGGAATGTTCAGTTAATACACAGAATTAACTGTTCAGTCCTGTACCACAGTTCCCGGAAGAAAAGGGGGCGGTCAAAGACGCAGATAAAAGGGTACCGCCTGTTTGAGTAATACCAGCTACAACTCTGTTTAAGTTTTTATGTTTTAAAAAATAAGCTCTATCGTTTCTGTAAGAATAACTGCTTCTAAATTTTTGTAAATATCTGCAATTAAAGTGTTTTTTCATATTAAATCCATAGTTATTTTCGAATTCTTTAAAATACTGGCGTCCGTGGAACAGGACTATGGATCATTTAAAACACAATTACGGCAAAGAACACAATTACGGCGATATTTCACAACTTCCTTGAAATCAGTGGAAACTGTTCTAAAAGCTGAAGCCAGAAAGTAAGATGGATTTGATATCTATATTTAATATATTTAATGATAAAGCTGATAGATTATTTCAGTTAGATGAAAAAGTTAAAGTAATGTGGCTAGAAATGGGAAATTGTAATGAAGATGAATTTTCTAATGATATGGATTTAAAGAAAAGCTATCGAAATCAGTGGGTTGCTATGAAAACGAAAGTTAATGTTTAATGTTATCAACCACTGAAAGAAAGGGCGATATTTTCCAGTGTAGTAACTGAAACTAAGCAAAATTTTCACCTTTTTAAGTTAGAGTTGAAACTTTTTGATGGTAATATTAAAAACTGGCTAGGATTCTGGGAACAATTTAAAAAATCTATCATGATGATTGCATCGATGCAGATGACAAATTTCAGTATCTTTTACAAGCAACTGAAGAAGGTTCATCGGCCAGAGATTTAGTTGCAAGATTCCCACCATTGGCGAAAACTATTATAACGCTATTGAACAGCTGAAATCTCGTTTGCTAAAGATGAACCTATTAATTCAAATTTGTTCGTGATATTTTAAATCTAGTTTTTTTTTAACGAAAAAAAAGTGGGCGAAAATTTACTTTGCGGATTCTTTATGATAATGGAGACTCAGCTGCGAGCATTAGAGACTTTAGGGGTAACGTCTGAAAAATATGAAGCAGTGTTATTCTTTAGTAGAATCAGCTCTCCCAGAAGTTCTTATCAAGGAGTGGAACGCACACATAACCGTGTAGAGGAATAAAGACAAGATGAACATGTTAGGAATTTATTAAAATTTCTTCGTTGGAAGTCGAAGTGAAGAGCGGTTACAACTTGCTCGATCAGGTTTTGCCAATGATCAATTGAAAAATTTAAAACAAAAGAAAAAAAATTCCACTGCAGATTGTATTGTATCTAATGAAAAGCAAAGAGCTGAGAAAAATGGCAAACATTGTTTATTTTGTAATAAGTCGTTTCATAATACCTCAGAATGTCTTAAGGCTGCCGAGATGTCATTGGAGGCGAAAAGGGAAACATTGAAGAAAATGGGAGCTTGTTTCGTCTGTTTGAAACCAGGACACAATTCTAAGATTTGCAAAGCTTATTTTAAATGCAAGAGAAAAACACCATAACATTATGTGTCCAAATATAAATCAATCAAAACAAGACAAACAATCTGAATCGGATGCACAGGTTCTTTTGTCACCAAAAAATTCTTCAACGTTATTAACTGTATTGGTTAAAATCATCAATGATGACAAGTCCGAAATCTTTCGCGGATTATTTGATACTGGTGCTCAGAGATCTTTCGTACGAAAAGATACTGCGGAGAAACTAGGATGAAACTGTAGATCAAGAAATATGAGTCATGGACTTTTTGAGGGCAGTGAAACTAAACAAGAGTCCCATAATGTCTACAGTATGCATTACAAAGCTTGTGTTCAATTTTCAAGTACGCTATTCAGTTTGGACGAAAAAGAAGATATGTGGTGCAATTCCACATGTAGAGGATCTGATATTATCCAATTTGAAAAGAAAATATACGCTAAGGATACAGGAGAATATGTGCCTGAAATAGGTTTATTAATAGGAGCATATTATCTTGGCGCATATTGACTTGGAGAATCGAACCATGATAATAATTTGATAGCTATTAAACAAAACTTGGATGGGACGCTTCAGGTAAACAAAGAAAACTACTCAAAATCTTTGGAGAGTATTGTATATGTTAATAATTAGATTTGACGGAATTATGGAGTCTAGATGTCATCGGTATAAGATGACCTGCAGAAGTAAAGTCAAGGCATTTTATGAGTTATTAACCGATGAAGTAACGGTAGATTTTTTCCGTAAAACTATTAAAAGAAACGAACACACACGATATGAAGTATGTTTGCCATGGAAAAGTGGACGTCCAGAATTAGAAACGAAAAAGGAATTAGCCACTAAACGGTTAATGTTAACTACCAAAATTCTCATACGATCTGGACATTTAAGAGAATATGATGATGTGTTTAATGAGTGGGTTCGGGATGGAATTATTGAAATTGTAGATAAAGACGAGAAAAAGGAACACTATTTACCACATCATCCTGTGATAAAAACTGGTGTAACAACAAAAAAAAATTCGTCTGGTTTTTCATGCGTCGACGAAAGATTCCAAAGGAAATTCCATGAATAATTGTTTAGAAAAGGGGCCAAATTTATTAGAATTGGTATCCAAATTGATAATGCAGTTTCGGGAAAACGCAATTGGCGTAACATCAGACATCAATAAAGCATTTTTACAAATTAGTTTGAATCCAGAGGATAGGGAGTATTTTAAATTTCTGTGGTAGAAGGATATATAAAGATGAGAAGAAATAATCACTCTCCAACATTGTCGAGTGGTATTTGGTGCTTCTCCTAGTCCATTTTTACATTGCAACTATAGCTTACCATCTAGAGAACGCTCCGGATGAAAGGAAGCAAACAGCTTGTCGACTCAAGGAATCTTTTTATGTGGACAACTGTGTTACAGAAGTTTTTAATGTGGCTTTAAGAAGATTCTTTGCTCGAAGAGGTAGAGTAAATATAATTTACACTGACAACGGTACAAACTTCATTGGTTAAAGCAATGCTCTAAGAAATTTAGAGTGGGAGAAGACCATGTCGTTTTCCACTATCAAAAAAATCAAATGGAATTTTAACCCTCCAATAGCCGCCTGGTGGGGGGATGGTGGGAGCGCATGGTTAGCATGTTGAAAGAGATACTAAGAAGAATTTTGGGCAGGAAAAGTCTTGACTGTGAAGAGTGGGAAACTATTCTCTGTGACTGCGAAGCTACAATAAACTCTAGGCCACTTACATATATTGAAGACAATTCTGAAGGTCTGAAGCCATTAACTCCCGCTTGTTTCTTACAAAGTAAGAAATTTACAAAAGTATTTACAAAAGTAAAGATATTCAAACCTGAAAAGGAAAATATATAAGTTATTCCATAAATAAATGCTATAAGTTTGTTTATATCTTCATTATTTTATGAGTTATTAAGCATCAAAATGGGTCCGGGACGCGTAATGGCAGACCGCACATTGAGTTGAACAGTGTTAAACGAATGTCGCATACTGCGCATTCCCAGAAAACAATTTGGCGTAATTACTATGTTGGCGCGGTTTGAAAAGAAGATAAATACGGTATATGGTAGATGTACCGCCATCTGATTGTAAACAAATCTGGCGTTTAAATCTTCGTGTTAAATTAATTCCTGTGTTAAAATACTATTTTTTGCTGTACTGCTCAAACAACTAGAAAGCTGAAATTATTGCGAAGTAATGTGAAGCAGTGTTTGCATTCAAAATGTAAGATATAATACTTTTAAAATTCTGCACATTCCTTTGGAACTGTACAAATTTTCGTTCAGGAAAAGACTGAAATTTAGGATATATTAGTTGAAAATTTATTCATTATACTTTTAAGCAATAAAAACAATTCAGGATTTACCTTAAGTTCCATTTGTACATACATAAAGAAACACTGAGGAATATAATAAAGTGCTTGCAAATAACACTGAAGAAATTTTACAATTCTTAATGCTAGTTATTAAATTCTTTGAAATGAGAAAATAAAAGCGCGAATATACGCTAACAAACTAAGCGAGAAACTCCAGTTTAGAATTACTGAATTATAAATTACATCTAAATAACGAATTATTACGAACATATGTTAACAAATATTAAATGCACTGTTATTGACAAATTAAAATGAAACATTTATTAGAAAAATAAGCAAGTGCAATCCATATGGACGTTAAAATAACTAACAAGCAAAGTTCCACAACACTGCAATTGTAAACATCACTCGAACACACTCGACAGCCGGGAGATCACGAATAAAGCTAGCGTAGGGTTGCTTAGTCGCCAATATTTCTCCCCGCGCCAAAGGTACACCATCAAGCATGCGCAGTAAGCGAAATTCGCTTAACACTGTTCAACTCAATGTGCGGTCTGCCATTACGCGTCCGGGACTTTATAAACAACCTGTATTTTCTCAACTATTTATTTGTGTGATCGAATTATTTGAACTCCTTTGTAAGTTTAGAACTCAAATTTAAATAACAAAACACATGGCTAAAGATGCTCGGTTTAAGGCCTGAATATACGATATTTGAATTACGCGAAAGCTCACAAGAGTTATCTGCCTCGGGAGAGGGATACCTACATGGAGGATTTCTTCAGGGAAAATGGCTCGTATTCATGCTACACATGGGGAAAACCACAAAATCATGCATGCAGAATCAGGTTCGAAACACAATGTGTGTGGCGGAAATATTTTTGCTTCTGAAGAAGAGAAATGTATGTCTGATCGCTGTCGAAACGGATAGGAATTTGTTCAAAATCCATGCCAGTCTGACATTGCTTTTATTATTATTATAATTATTGTAATTATTTTTGCCTAATTTAAGTTTTACATCAATATGTGCGTGTTCAATTTAAAACTGGATGCTTTGATTCATTTCTTAAAATGGAACTGCGAGTAAACGACCAGCCTGTTCAGAATATGTTAGCTGTGCAATCATTCTAAAACCCTAATGTATAAGAATGCATTTTTGTACTGACCATTCTAAAAAGTTTTTATGTTTCGATTTCGTGCTTTTTTAGTCTTTACAACCTAGTTTATGATATCTATTTTTACCAATAAGGAAGATTTTCATATATGTCACAAGTTTAATTAAAAGAAAGAACGTGTTTTCAATAAGGAAATTTGCTCTGATAATATGGCTATGTAAACTTGGTGTCATACGCTCTTACAGTTATAACGGGGCAAACAGACCTCATGACGCAGATGCGTTTATAAATCCCAGTAATTAGGCTTAGTTAATTCCATTTTCTGCATCTCATGTGCGTCATCTTTGTTTACAGCTGCTTTCGTTTACGTAACACCAGAACAGGCTTTTGGGTCGTTTCATAATGAGAGAATATAAGCATGGCTTGCCAATGCCAATGATTTCTCATTTGCCGAATCAACTAAAAGTTGAAATTTCTATGCTCGAAAACTGGCTACAAATATGGGTGAAAAAGTTACATTTTTCAGTTTTGATGCGTTATATAAAGGTATGCCATAAAGGTATGCCAAATCCATAGAAGTAGAAATTAAAGGCAGTGGCGCAAATTCTTAAAAAAAAAGTAAAAAAGCAGCCAACGGAAACGTATGACACCTTTACACTTTTGAACAATCTTTTTTTTTTTTTCTTTTTTTTTTTCACCTCCACGATTATCCTAACAATTGTGTTTGTTGCTTGACTTTTCCCGTTAACCTTCCTAAAACTCCCTGTGGATGAATTTACAAAAAGGTTCCTCAAAAAGTAATACAAAATCACTTGAGTAATAGCGCGAGTTGTTTATTGAATAGTAGCAACAGTGTTACTGACGTCCATGAGCAGTCGTAGCATCGTTTCGGAAGAGGTAAACAAGTTAAAGTACTTACAGCCGGGACTCATCAAATTCAATTGGCATTCCAAACAAATATTGTGTATCAAACAAAATCCTCGATCCATACAGGACATATACTGAGGTACCATTGTATGTATCAAGAATGGCGATAACTCGGCCCGCGAGCCGCATGCGGTTCTTATGCAGATAAAACATACATACGAAATATCGTAAACTAAAACTACTCAACGTCTAAACGAAAGTGATTAATTAATATAACTTCTTTTTAGAAAGTTATTACTAAACTTAAATTGATCTGTGTCCAAAAGTAATAATTTTATTACATTTCTTGTTCGTTACGAAACTTAGTGATATTATTCCAAAAAAAAAAAAAAAAAAAATACTGTATTGATTCCATCAAAAGAATTTGTAAGGAAAATCTTTCAAAGTTAGATTCGCTTGTGGATCCATTACAAATGGATGGATGAATACTTGTGGGTGCTTTACAGGAAAGGTCTGCCGAATGTCTGAGTCATTAGTAGTATTAGAAACTAAATCGAGGTGGTCAGTGAGTGGTATAGAAGACGCATATAACGAACGAATCAGGAACATTCATCATCATACAAAAGTTTAGAAGTTGATTCGACGTCCGAATTAAATTTATGGCAGTTGAAAGCTTCGGAATTTCTAAAAAAATCTGATGAGAGTTTCAGCTTAGAAGACAATGTTATCTTCAGAAGATTTCGAGAATCCGCAAAATTTGGGGAGAACAGATATAAGGCTTGCTTGCCATGGAACGAGCATGCAAGGAAATAAAAGGATAATTTTGAGGTAGCAGAAAAACGTTAAGAGTCTCAGATCAAAAGTTCAAAGAATCAGAAGTTTCATGAGCATTACATAGTTTTGATAGATCAACATTCGCAAGAAGGTATCGCGGAAGAATTGGAGTTTTTAAAAGCTGAAAAGAGTCTTTTTTACTACATCAAGCTGTAATAAGAGAAAACGAAGACACAACACAACAACTTATTGTCTTCAATGCATCATCACAGGCTGAAGACAAATTGTCATTGAATTATTGTCTAGAATCAGACGTTTATTTCCATTTGAAACTTGTGTCACTACTTTTAATGATTATAAATATAAGCTTGTGGCTTTTCGAAACTCTAGTTGCGGCTCTGGGACTTTCCTCGATTCCAGCATGCGGCTTTTACTGACATGAAGTTCACACCCCCAGGTATACACTATATTTTGTATGTAAATACTTTTTTATTTCTTACTATAGCTTTTAGATACAACACCTAATGGCGTTTCGATGTTGATAAAATTTGTAACATTGAAGAAAAATTACTAGAAATTATCTTCATCACAAACTTTAGATGCTAATCTGTCAGTTTGGTCCTTTTCTTGGACTTGTTAATTTTCACCTGAGGAAAAGAATTGCTCACGTGTAAATGTATTGTCAAACAAAGCGATTATTTTTATTGCAAAAGTTTGTAAGTGTATCTTTTGACAAGTACGAAGAAAACGTTAATCCAATTTGTATATTCAAATTTTTGAATATCACAGTATGCATCACAGTGTAAATTAAGCTCCATTTGTTTTGGAGGCACTACTCACGTTCATTTTCAGTGATAATTAAATTAATGCCAAATTGGATTAATTGAAATCGAAAAATTTTCTTGAAATTCTTCTCATAATAATTAATGTCATAATGATGGCAATTAGTTCACAGGATATGTATCCTAAGGCTGTGCAAAATTGCTTCGGGGGC